TCAGGTGGCATCTTCATAATGAAGGTTAGCTGCAGTGGATCTTCAACACTCCATCTTTTGTCTTGGTAATACACTCTCTCAGATGGCTGTTCATCCATATCTTGATGTTGTCCTGTCTCTTGTATCGTTGTCTGCCTTTGCTCTCTTGCCTTCGACCTTTTTTCCACTATGGTTTTTTAAAAGTGTTATGTCTCTAAATATGCCAATTTCAAGTCTAGTTGCTTATTAGAGGTGCTTTGGGTCTTTTCAAACCCCCCCCCCCCTTTTTTTTCCCTTTCCCCACCACCCCCTATTGGGCCCCAGAACCAGATTTTTATTTCTTTCACTGTGTGGATTTCTTCTCCATTTGTTTGTTTTCATTCATTTGAGTTGTTTAGATTCTTATTTAATTTAATGTTAAAGTATGCTCAAAATGTTTGGTTGTCCTTTCCCTTCATCTATTTCCTGTTTTTTTTTTTTTTTTTTTTTTAGTTTTCAATATGAGTTTGACTGCCGTTACACCTACATTCAGCTTGACTTCAAAAACTAGAGCATGCATGATTGTAGCCAATAAGAATGCATTTTCTGACTTCATTTGCTTATGGCATGCTAGGGGTTGTATATGAACAGTGACTCATGACTTGTGGCATACAAGTGGTTATATATGAACAGTGACTCATGACTGAGCTGTGCTTGTGGCATGCAATGTGTTATATATGATATATATGAGCAGTGACTAATGACTGAGCTGTGTTTGTGGCATGCTAGTGATTATATATGAACAGTGACTAATGACTGAGCTGTGATTGTGGCATGCTAGTGATTATATATGAGCAGTGACTAATGACTGAGCTGTGCTTGTGGCATGCAAGGGGTTAAATATGATAAATATGAGCAGTGACTAATGACTGAGCTGTGCTTGTGGCATGCTAGTGGTTATATATGAACAATGACTAATGACTTGTGGCATATTAGTGGTTATATATGAACAGTGACTAATGACTTGTGGCATATTAGTGGTTATCTATGAACAGTGACTAATGACTTGTGGCATGCTAGTGGTTATATATGAACAGTGACTAATGACTTGTGGCATATTAGTGGTTATATATGAACAATGACTAATGACTTGTGGCATATTAGTGGTTATCTATGAACAGTGACTAATGACTTGTGGCATGCTAGTGGTTATATATGAACAATGACTAATGACTTGTGGCATATTAGTGGTTATCTATGAACAGTGACTAATGACTTGTGGCATGCTAGTGGTTATATATGAACAGTGACTAATGACTTGTGGCATATTAGTGGTTATATATGAATAATGACTAATGACTGAGCTGTGCTTGTGGCATGCAAGTGGTTATATATGAATAGTGACTAATGACTTGTGGCATATTAGTGGTTATCTATGAACAGTGACTAATGACTGAGCTGTGCTTGTGGCATACAAGTGGTTATATATGAACAGTGACTAATGACTGAGCTGTGCTTGTGGCATGCTAGTGGTTATATATGAACAGTGACTAATGACTGAGCTGTGCTTGTGGCATACAAGTGGTTATATATGAACAGTAACTAATGACTGAGCTGTGCTTGTGGCATGCTAGTGGTTATTTATGAACAGTGACTAATGACTGAGCTGTGATTGTGGCATGCTAGTGGTTATATGTGAACAGTGACTCATGACTGAGCTGTGCTTGTGGCATGCTAGTGATTATAGATGAACAGTGACTATTGACTGAGCTGTGATTGTGACATGCTAGTGGTTATATGTGAACAGCGACTAAAATTGAAGGAGTTACTGACACTTTGAGACTGCATAACATCACGACATATCGACTGACCACGCCCTGGCTTGGCTGCCAATTGTCTGATCAACTGCGACACCTATTGGCATAAGCAGATATTGACAACAGAAGAAGACTGATGACCGGGCTGTGTTTGTGGCATGCTAATGATTATATATAAACAGTTACTCATGATTGAGTTGTGTCCTTGACTTGCTGAAATGCTGTTGATCTAAATGGGGATTAGGAGAAATATTGCCTTTGAGGGATGTTTTTTTTTTTTAAGAAGAGACTCTGTGGGCAGGGGCTTAGAAATTGTGAAATATTGCATGTTTTTCACTGCAGTCATAGTTACTTAGTTTGTCTTTCCTCTTGAGCCTAGGCTGTTGCATAGGGCATAGGTCATAGCTATCCATGTCTGATGGTTTTTTGCCACCTGTTTCAGGTCTAGGATGTTCATTTGGCCCATGGTTGAGCCTTCCCCTGATGATTGTTCTATGCAGGGTTTCTCTTGGTCTTCCCCGTTTATCTTTTCACTTCTAGTGTTCATATGAGAGCTTGATGGTGAAATCTTGTCTTATCCATTCTGAGTGCATGACTGATGTAGTTTCAGCGGCACTTCTTATAAAATTGGATACATTATCTTGCTTGGTCTCTTGTCTTATTTGTGTATTGGATCTGACATCTGTCTAGGAGAGATTTGGTATTCTTCTAAGACATCTGTTCTAACAATTTTCAATTTTTTTTTCCAACTCTCGCATCCATAAGTTAGCACTGGAGTCACACAAGAGTTGAAGATCTTAAGTTTTTGCATCCATGTCAATTTGTAAATTATATTCTTTAAAAAAATTTATGTTTATAGTAAGTGAGTAAAATAACAGACCATGTTCATACCAGTAGGGCATTTGACATATGATGCTATTCTCATACTTTTATAGACCAGTTGGATCTAGATAGGAGATGTGGTCAGCGTCACTCCGACCACCATTACTTACCAGGACTTTGACTGGTATCCATATTAGGCTGGGGTGATCTGGAAGCCACGTTCGTTTTTGGGGAACAAATCTGACTCGATGCAGATTCGAACCTAAGACCTTTGAGCAGGCAGGCGAGCATCTAGTTGCTTTATATATACCACCAGTGTTTCCTGTTTTTATAGTACTATAAATTAGTTTTTTTGCACTGTATTTTATTTAATAATGCATCTTGCAGTAGCTAAAATAATTTTGGTTTTCCCCCACTTTTTAAATAAAACACTCACTGCTTTGTACATGCACTAAAAACCATGTTATGACACTAATTTTAAAGCTTTTGAAAAAAAAAACATGATGAAATGTATGTATACAAATAAATGTATGTAATTGCTTTTACTCACACACAAATTGAAAAAAATAAATAAAACATTCTTATTTGGAATATCGGTATTAATAATTTATGAAATCTTCACTTCCTTAGACTTCCTATTGCAAGCCACTTGATGCAGTTCATGACATATTCTTCTTCTTCTTCTTTATCATCTGTATTTTCCCTCAGAAGGGCAGTTGACATGTTATGCGGTGCTTTACAGCTAGATTGCGATATCAGCTTAGCATATCCGACTTCTGGAAGCCTTTAGTAAAGTCTGATATTTTCTAGTTTCGTCCTTTTTAGGACGAAATTTTTTGTTATTTGAAGCCCCACTCTGGCTTTTGCCAGGGGCCGCAATATAGGCAGGCCATAAATATGGCCAAATGTCTGAACGCGGTTTCTGGGACCTCTCCACGGCGATCCTCATCCATATGGTGGCACTTTGTGTCATCGGGTGTTTATCGCTTGTGTGATGTCCTGGTGGGGTAGAAAGTCAGTCAGTCAGTAAAGTCTCCTTTTACAGTAAACTTGTTAAACGGCAATGGGACCATCCCTCCACCCTGGGTGTGACATTTTGAAATTTTTCTATCCCCCCATTCTATCTTTTTACAGCTTTTACTCATTTCCTGGTATGCTGAAGTGAGCCAGAATCCACTGGAGAACGATTTGATTGTTTTCTGCTATTCTGATTAGCTGGCGGGTCAGTTCTCTCTGCATGTTGTCTTGTGGATCCCTCTGAGTCGCCTGGAGGACTGACATGCAGTCACAAAGGAAAAATTATTGCTGTTTTTAATTTTTCTTTCCTTAAGCACTTTGGCTGAATCAATAATTGCTTGCTGCTCTGCTCTGAAGTTTGTTGAGTCTTCCAGAGGCACATGATGTGGTAGTAGTAATTGACGTCATGTCAATTCTACACAGGTTTTACATTTTCAGAAACTAAAAAATGACTTTAATAGAGCATCATCATCATCATCATCATCATCATCATCATCATCATCATCATCATCATGTAGCAGGTCCTTTGCTAAATGTCACTTGTATGATATCACACCAGAAAGCCAGTCCGTCTCTTGTGAGATATCGATTTCATGGATAGTATATAAGCAAGAAGGAGACAAACACTGTTCTTTGGCCACGTAATGAGAAGAGAGGCATTGGAAAACATCGTGACAACTGGAAAGGTCAGGGAAAAAAGGGGTGGAGGCAGACCGAGAGAGATGATGCTGGATGGGCTGAAACGAGGGCATGGAGGGATATCATCAAGAGAGCTGTTCTAGGCAAGCAGGGATCGTGATCTGTGGAGATGCATGAGCGCCTACCCCAACTGGCAAGGCACATAATGATGATGATGATGATATAAGCAACGTCAGTTATTGAAAAAAATTTTTTTTTATTCTAGTGGTGCATCAGGAGTATGGTGCTGGATTCCATATTTTTATAGACCACTCGGCCTCAAGGTGCGATGGGGTCAAAATCATGCCAGGCTGCCTTTACTTCCCATGTCTTTACCTAGTATCAGTTTAAGGGTGGACGTGTGTGTAACACTCCAAAACTCATGTTTACGGCTTTCAAGGACAGGGATCAATCACACAGAATATTCTTCATCCGATGGAAGGGTGGTCCTTTCTGGGATTGCTGAACATCATTTCTTATCTCCAGGAAAACTTACCCAGGCAACAAGTGCCTGAAGAATTCACATGTGTTGGCTGAAAGGCGCAGATATCACAGCCATGCTGTAAACGGGCACAATGCATTTGCTTCCCTGTGTGAACACAAAGAAGGGGAAGAAGAGTTCTTATCTAACTGACATTATAAGAAATCTAACTGAATTATTTTCTACAAATTATTCTAATGTGATACTTTTTTCCTCATTAAATTCAGAAATGACAAAGTCAAATTTTGGCTACAACCTTTTGACCTTCATCATCCTGTTCAACAACCTCATCCCTATCAGCCTGCAGGTGACCTTGGAGATGGTCAAGTTCATCCAAGCCATTTTTATTAACTGGGTATGTTCACGGAGCTGATGTTTGAAACGTTTTAATGTTCAGTGAAAATAGGTCAAATTGTTTTGAGGAATAAATGCAGAGGTATTGATTGGTGTTCGTAGGAAAGGAAACAAAAATCAGAGGATATACTTGCAAAAAGCAAAGATCCAGTTTTCACGTTTTGAGGTGCAGTGAACATATGGTGCTAGCCAAAGACCAGCTGGGAGCCCGAAGGTCTAGGGTTCAGATCCACAATGCGGCAGATTTGTTTTCATTCCAAGGTGGACTTAGCCGAAAATGAGTACCAAGCCCTGGGAAGTCAAGGTGGTCAGGGTGATGTTGGCATATAAAAATATAGGTCCTGCAGGTCAAATGTACTAGTGGGATGAAAGAGGGATTAGCAGTAGGTGATGTTTCAATGATGTATCAATATTTTGTCTGCCAAGGAGATGGAAACATGCAATGTGAACCCATTAGTGGTTCCAACAGACTGCCTGTATTTACCAGATATTAGGGTTGTATAGGATAGTGGCTTAACTCTTTTAGTCCCTTAAGACTTTGTACAAAAATATTTTCTCTTTTAAATACTGCCATGAAAGCTCTAACCACTTGCTATGTTGTAGGAATAAAAAATATATCAAAGATACCTCTGTGGTTACCAGATTTATTTAGTATACACTGACCAAAACTTAGATATAAGAAGATACTTAATGTGATCTTTAAGACTTGGGAAGTTTATAAGACATCATGCTTTGTTTAGGAGTAAAAGAGTTTTTAGGGTTGCATGCCCGGCGCGGTCATCATGAGCTGTACAAGGTAGGATTTTTGTTTTTGCCTCAGACAGAAAATATTTCTATCACTTTATTGAGGATTCCTGAATGAGAGCCCAGCTTGGCTACGTGCTTCTTGTTCCAACCAACACATGAACCAATTTATGGTCCAGGATCCATTTGTCAGAGAGAACTTTTATTTTTGGATTTTAACTTTCTGTCTTCCTGACAGATGACTGTGGCTTATCCATTAGGAAGTGACTTTGTGAGGTCCATGATTAATGGAAATCATCAGTTGTGCTGTGTTTCAATAATTTGCCTTGAAGTTAAATTTCCCTTAACCGTTATCAACGTGGGAGTCATGGTTACAGAATAGCTGGTATGACATAAATTGTGGTGACTGCAGTTGAGCTGTTGACAAGAAGTATTAATACACAATTTTCTTCCTTTTCTCTTTGTGATCACTCTCTGATTTAGACCAGCAGATGAGTTCTTGTGATAAAATTGACTGTTCTTGGTGTACCTTTTTAGTTCCATAGAATTTTGAGTATGATATTGACTTATTGGGCCTGTATTCTCTTTTTAATGGGTTGTACAAGGGACAGACTTCAGACTTGCAGGACATGTTCTGCAGTTTGCACACACAGCCCACAAGGGCACAGTGGTAGACTACTGAGACGAAGCCTGTGTATATGCTTGTTAAATTTGTTATGTCCTGTCTGAGACATAGAATGATGACCTGTCATGCCGGTCTGTTATGTAACGGTCATTGCAGACCAGATTCTGTTCACTTCTGATAGAAAATACAACATAAAATGGGACTAGAAAACTCAGCTTAGGGTCCTTCTCCATTCCATCTGTTGAGCTTTTTAGTCACAAATTTGTGTTGTATTTAGTACAGTAGCTAGTATGCTTGCCTGTTGGCCAAAAGGTCACAGGTTCGAATGTGCAAAAAGGCAGATTGTTAAAACTTTAACTGCTTTCTCAATAAGGACCACTACAAGAGAATTGATTTTTTAATATAATGACTGCAGTCACCCCTATTTTCATCACAGTTTATCAGCCTGTTCTTTGCCATATGCACCCATTTATCCTGGGCAGAAAATACACGACATGTTCCTTGTGATCTGAATGTCAGTATTGAAAATATCTGAATTTGTAGTAAAAGTTTATGTGTCATATTGCTATAACTCCCCGTGTGGGTTCTGGGGCCTCATTGTGGGGAAAACAAGAATAGATCCACTGCCTACCAAAAAGCATGTCGTAAGAGTCGACTTATTGGGGTGCTTCCTTTAAAGTCAGAGTGCATCTGCCCGAGAGGCAAGGAATCAACAGTCTGCATTTAAGTGAATCAGATCTGTAAAACTGATGCACAAGCAACACTCAGGTTTTGGAGCAGGACTGCAGTCCAGAAGTGGACGAACAACCAGAGCTTTACGCCAGAGTGTACAGCTGGTGAACACGAAGAAGAAGAAGAAGATATTGCTGTAAGCTACCTTATGTATATGACATAGTAATATTTCATTGGTCGTTTGTTCTTTAGGATCAAGACATGTACCACCCCAAAACAGAGACACCTGCAAATGCTCGGACTTCAAACCTGAATGAGGAACTGGGACAGGTATGATTGTTGCTTTTTTTCCCCCACATGTCACTAGTGCACTGAAGTTTAATCTAAATGGGGATGTTGATAATCTGAGTGAGCCTGGTGTTAATATAAATGAGGATGGTGAAAATCGAAATGTGGCTGGTGCTATTCTAGAAGAGGTTGAAATTAATCTATCTGGTGATAATCTAGAAGAAGTTGATGTTAATCTAGATGTGTCTGGTGCTAATCTAGAAGAGGTTGATAATAATCTAAATGTGACTGGTGCAAATCTAGAAGAGGTTGATATTAATCTAAATGTGGCTGATGCTAATCTAGAAGAAGTTGATGTTAATCTAGATGTGGCTGGTGCTAATCTAGAAGAGGTTGATATTAATCTAAATGTGGCTGATGTTAATCTAGAAGAAGTTGATGTTAATCTAAATGTGGCTGGTGCTAATCTAGAAGAGGTTGATGTTAATCTAAATGTGGCTGGTGCTAATCTAGAAGAGGTTGATGTTAATTTAAATGTGGCTGGTGCTAATCTAGAAGAGGTTGATGTTAATTTAAATGTGGCTGGTGCTAATCTGGAAGAGGTTGATGTTAATCCAATTGTGGCTGGTGCTAATCTAGATAATTGAGAAAAAGTTAGTGTTAATCTAAATGTGGCTGGTGCTAATCTAGATTATGCTGGAATTAATATAGAAGAGGTTTTTGTTAATATAACTAAGGCTGGTGCTAACCTGGATTTGGCTAGCGTTAATATCGAAGAGTTTTGTCTTTATCTTAATAAGGCTGGTAATAATCTACCTAAGACTAGAGTTGATATAGAAGAGTTTTATCTAAATCTGAATGAGGCTGGTGCTCATCTAGATAAAGCTGGTGTTAATCTAAATGAGATGGGTTAATTTAGATACGGCCAGCTTAGGAAAGTATTGTTTTGACAACATGTCTTTTATGTTAATGCCTCTAATTTTGAGATTGTGTCCTTTTGATAACACCCGCCTTTTATGAGGAGAAGAGCAAGATAAAGAGTAAGAAGGAGAAGGAAGAGGAAATAGAGGACCGCAACACAGTATCTTCAACACCCTGAGAGCAGAAGATGAATATCCTATGATTAACTGAATAAATGATAATACATACATTTAGCTTTTATGATATGTTTATGAGATCATAATTTATCGTCAGATCAAGTTTATATTCTCAGACAAGACTGGAACACTGACCCAGAACATTATGAGGTTTAGCAAATGCTCCATTGCTGGCATAGTGTATGGGTGAGTCATAGTAGATTTTTTTCATTGAAATTAGTGATGTTTTTTTTTGGATTTTTCTTTTCTTTTTTTTTTTTTAAATGTTTTATTGACAGTCAAAAAAAATAAAGAAAGTACTTCTTGTACCAACCGACAAGTGAAGCAGTTAATTATCCAGGATCCATTCCTCAGAGGAAACTTATATTTTAGAGATACCTGTATTAAAGATTGATGGAGCTGCCATGGCGTAGCGGCTAGATGCTCACCTGCTGATCTGAAGGTCATGGGTTTGATTCCGAATGAAGCCAGAATTTTTTCAAAAATGATGACCTTTACCACACGCACACGTGCGTACACCCCCCAACCCCCTCAAAGTGGTAAATAAAGGTAATATTTTGCTGGGTTTTTTTTGGGGTGGGGGGGGGGGTTGGTGAGATTGTTTGAAGATTGTCATTCCTTTAGTGTTATCTGCATTTATTTCCATGCCAAACTTTGTAGATGTTTTATCAAATAGTTCAGCTGACTCTAGTTCTTTCCTGGCTAACCCATAAATATCATCTGCTAACCTGAGATTTTTGTGTGTTTCATCCTCCTATGTTAACTAACTAGTACAGTCGTGACAGAATTTATTTTTTCCTACAAGTATAACTGTGAGGCTGGCTAAGCTTTTTAAAATAGTCAACAGTTATACTTCTGTGGGAAATAGTTAACAGTTATACTTCTGTGGGAAATAGTTAACAATTATACTTCTGTGGGAAATAGTTAACAGTTATACTTCTGTGGGAAATAGTTAACAGTTATACTTCTGTGGGAAGGTAAAGTGGCATGGAAGGGAGCTGACATTCTTATCCTGTAATGCAGTGGTTCACAATTTTTGTTTCAAGGAGTTTCCCTATGTCATATATGGCAAGACCTCCGCCCTCACCGCCAACTTAAAAAAAAAAAAAAAAGAGATTAAAAAGAGGACAAAAAGAAAATAAAAGCAAGTACTATAAACTAGAACTTGGAGGAAAAAAAAAGTCCACAGAAATCAGTGTCAAGTTACATAACATCACTGGCTTTTTGTTTTATATATATATTTTAAACAAATATTTTATTTCAGTTAAACTGGAAACAGTATTAATGTAACAGATTATTACAAGTGGAGATGCTTGTTACATGTGCAGATGCCTGTTACAAGTGCAGATGCCTGTTAACAAGTGGAGATGCTTGTTACAAGTGCAGATGCCTGTTACAAGTGCAGATGCCTGTTAACAAGTGCAGATGCCTGTTACAAGTGCAGATGCCTGTTACAAGTGCAGATGCCTGATACAAGTGCAGATGCCTGATACAAGTGCAGATGCCTGAAACAAGTGCAGATGCCTGATACAAGTGCAGATGCCTATTACAAGTGCAGATACTATCATTTTCAGAACCACTTGAGACCTCCTTTAAAACTTCCAGCCCCCTCTTTCCCAAGATGTTGAACACTACTCCTGTAATGAAATGATCTCATGTGATTATCTTTCACTTCACACTGCTATTTAGTATCAGATATGGATTACTTTTGCCTTTCTTTAAGTATGCCATGACCTGTTAATAAGTACATGTTTATTGTAGGAAATCAACACATGTGCTTTTTTATCTGCAGTGAGAATGAGGAAAGTGCTGAGTGCTTTAATGATGAAAGTGTGGTGCAGAATCTCAAGACTGGACATGTGAGTACAAAGAGGTCTTAGAAACTTAGTTACATATTCATTACAAGATTTTGCTAACATCTGCATTTTGACTGTTAAGTGGTTTTTATGCAGTTTCTTCTTCTTCTTCTTCTTTTTCTTCTTCTTCTTCTTCTTCTTCTCCTCCTTCTCCTCCTCCTTCTCCTCCTCCTCCTCCTTCTTCCTTTTCTTCTTCTTCTTCTTCTTCTCCTTCTTCTTCTTCCTTTTCTTCTTCTTCTTCTTCTTCTTCTTCTTCTTCTTCTTCTTCTTCTTCTTCTTCTTCTTCTTCTTCTTCTTCTTCTTCTTCTTCTTCTTCTTCTTCTTCTTCTTCTTCTTCTTCTTCTTCTTCTCCTCCTCCTCCTCCTCCTCCTCCTCCTCCTCCTCCTCCTCCACCTCCTCCTTCTTCTTCTTCTTCTTAATAATTGTATTATACTTATTTACAGCTGTATTGCAATATTTGCACCTTTTGGTGAACAGATATGACTTCATCTGGTATTTGTCCGGGTTAGCTTTTCAGTTGTTTATACAATTTTCTCATCAGTTGTTATTTTGTTGTTGCTTTCTGTACAGTGTAATGCTGATACCATTGCCAGAGTCAGTACAGAATGATTGGTTGCTAAATCGCATGCAGCTGACTTCATATTTAACTGGTTGGGATTGTGAATTTGTGTTCTCAACCCCTAAGCCACAACTGCTGACTTGTATTTTTATTTTTCTACGTTCATCCTTAAAATAAAGGTTAGCTCATTGTATTGTGATTTACAGCTAGGCTGTGATATCTATGCCTTTCGGCGCAACACTTGGAGGTATTGAAGTAAAAATATTACAGATTGCGTTTGGGAAAAGGGATCGCCTCCATGATCAAGCTGTTTGCCTTGTGCTTTGAAGGCTGTGGGTTCGTTTCCAGACAGCCATGCTGTCACAAGTTCTCCATTTTGTTTTCATGGCCTTATTTTGACTTGTGGAAAAAAAAACGGGGGGGGGGGGGGGGGGGGGGGGGGGGGGGGGGGGGGCAAAACATAGACCCACAAACATCCTGAAAAGGTGACTAATTAAGAGTGTTTTTTAAATTTAATTTAATATATTGAACTGAAAGATACAGATATCACAATGTAGCTGTAAACCGCAACACACCATGCCACTCTTTTAAGAGGCAGCACAGAAAAAGAAGACAGTTTCTTCTTTACTTCCTCTTTTACCACTTGAGGTGATGAGGGAGGTATAAGGTTCTGCTTCGTGCTCTTCTGGCTGCCTTGACCATAGATAGACACACCATGGTGTTTTAGAGTTTCTCTAATGTTGTTTTTTTGTCTTGTTCCTGGTCTGCCTCGTGCTCTATGTCCTTCTCCTCTTTTGATGTATGCCTTGTGTATATGACATCACAAGGCGAGTCTCTCTAAGTGTTCAGACCACTTGATCTTGTTGTATTTTAGAAAAAGATTTACATGTGAAATATGTTCAGAGATTCCTGGGATTTGTTATGGAACTGGGCTTTGCGTGTTGCTCTTAACAGGTGGCTTGCTGCTCCGAGTGAGAGAAACCAAACCAGATGTAACCAAACAAGGTTCTGTGAAATCCATCATTCTCACCTTTAATCAACGTGATAAACTTTTGACACTAATAGAAAGAAATAGATAGATAGAAGGACACACTAGACAAGATAAAAATAAAAACCTATAGTTACCATACTGGGTATCGGACCTGTCACCAATAAATGACCACAGTACCTTACTGCAGGAACAAGTTTACTTTGAAGCATGACCAACTCGACACCCCTAGAAAGATGCCAACTTTAGACAGGTCTATCCTGCAGCTTAAACTCACAACTAAGGAATTCAGTTTGTTTCAAACCATAGGTTACAGAAATGCTTCGTCTCTAGTCACTGTTTTTTTTTCTTCTTCTTCTTCTTCTGCGTTCATCAGAAGATGTAATTGTGTTGTGTCCATTTACAGCGATATTTGCAACACATCCGACTTCTGCGGGCATTTGTTAACCGGGTTAGCCTGCCCGGATTTTTTCTTCTTCAATTTTTAGAAAATATTATTGCCAGAATACTAATCATTGAATCACCTAGGGAATAGTGATAACCTTTCTCAGAATGTGGCATTTCATGATGTATGGGTAAGTAGAATTTTGTGAAAATTACTTGAGGACCCTTTTCACACCATTGATGTATTGGACATGTAGTACTAGACCTAGATTTTGTAGACCGATTGGTGCTCAATGGGTTTTATTGATTACTGATTGAATAATCGACATTATGGCATGCCAGGCGTACCCATATATGCTCCATCTCATACAGGAAGTGTCTTAAGGTGTAGGAGCTAAATATTCCAGCAGAACACTGATTATACACATGTCATTCTCTTTCTCTCACACGTCCGTTCTTGCCGGGTTTACTTCTAATTCCTTGTTCACTGATTCTTACACATGTTATTACATCTATCCTTGTGTCTTCTCTTAGCATTTGTTCTTAAATGGTCTTTAGAATGTCGCCCCTGTCCTGTACAAGTGTTCCTATCGCTATCACTATTGCAACCAGAGAATCCACTCTTTCATTTCCTCTTACTCCTGCATAACTTGGACAGTATATCCACATGAGTCCATGTAATGTTGACCTGGTGATGCTTGGTATCCACCTACTCCACATTTGTCCATTTAGAAGCTTCCACATTACCAACAGAAGAGAATCAGACACAGTCATTTCTTGGTGTTTTCTGCTATCCATAATAAGAGCCCTGGGTCAATTATAAAAATATGCCGTGTTGCAGATTTGAATCCAAGACCTTCATGTTGGCAGGTGGTCATCTAGCTAGTTTACCATGTGGAGCTAAAATGATGCCAAGAAAAAAGTAAAATCATTTTCAGGCGTTATGCTAAACATGTCTATTTTGTGTGTGTGTTCCTTTCAGCCGACAGCCCCGATCATATCTGATTTCCTCACATTGATGGCTGTCTGCCATACAGTGGTGCCCCAAATAAACCACACAACTGGAGAGATACAATACCTAGCATCATCACCAGGTCTGTTTTCTTTTACATTTTCTTCATCTGTGTTTGTTGTCGTGTTTTTATTTTCTTGTGCATTTTTCCATGGATGTTATCAGATGCCTACTTCAATTAGATATCTTACTGTTTCCATTTTGTTGCTGTTATTTTTGTTTAAAGATAAGTTAGATTTTTTAAAACACACCAAATCTCACAATACCTATTGCAAAGTCTTGTCCCTGTCAGCGAGTTTGATTAAGTGCAGCAGGGAAAGATCGAGGCCTGGAGTCATGACCCAGGTCGGCCCACCTTCCGAGATAGATAGTCTGGGAAGTAATGGGCCGAAATAGTCGTTGACGAGGGATCTTTCTACTGATGATCGGTGGACTCCTGCTGTGCATGCTCCCCTGTGGAGTTCTTCTTATTACTTTTTTAATTGTATCTGCTTGGCATTGAGAGAGAACTAAACAGGCTCCAGTGGACCAAGAGGTGAGGAAAAGACGCTGGCGTTGGATAGGACACACACTGAGAAAACAGGAGAACAGCATAACTAGAAGGTCTTTGCATTGGAACCCACAGGGGCATAGGAATAAAGGAAGGCCAAAAAACACATGGAGAAGAGAGCTGGAGAATGAAGTAAGAAAGATGGGGAGGACGTGGGGGAGAGCTCCATGCAATGGCGAAGGTTAGAACGACTTGGCGTGTGTTGGTTGAGGGCCTATGCTCTATTGGGGGATAGAAAGGCAGAAGAAAAGAAGAAGTAGAAGAGAGATAAACAACACATTAAAAATGAAAATTGTCAAATGTTGTATATACACAGTCCTGTTGTGTGTTTCAGAGATAGGAACAGTTAGTCAGCAATTAGAAAATCATATTGAGTCTCTGGACATCTGGATATACAGAAGAAGGGGTGGTATTTCATGGAAACAAAAACAATAAATTACTCAGTTCTGAAAAGACTAGAAATGAAAGGAGATTTTCTGAAGAAAATGAAATAAAAAGGAAGAACAAAAACAAGTATAATATTTTGGCCATATTAAAAGGCAAAACACTTGAAAAAAACCATACTGGAGTAATAAGTTCAAGGCAAGTGATAGGAGGCAGACAACATTATAGGTGAGAGCATAAGATCAAGAGATGGACGAACAGCATTCTGAGATCTGAGAGAGTGTACGTGCTGAGTGAAAGATAGAGCATATTGGACATTATTGCAGTCAGTCTGCATTGTGGAGTTGGCACCTTATTAATTAATATGACATCAAGAATATTATTGAATAGAAACATCTTCATGGTAATGCATATAGAGACTTTTCTCCTGATTTGGTGTGAAAGAACTGTGCCTCACATCTCTTACTCCCCTCTGCAGCCTCCTAAACCAGGGTATGGGTGGAGGGGGGAGGGGGGTTGTGCGGCAGTGAACTTTTTTTTTATCACTCTCTTGGCTCTGGTCATATGCAGATTTCACTGGTGCACATCAGGTTATCAACTTTCATTGCAACATGTCAAAACACCAACACTGCGAACCAGCAGCTGATTTTTAAAAAAATATCAATGTTGATTCAGTTACACAATTGCCTCCAATCAGTGCACCCTGCGGTAACAGTCCAAAATCGCAACACAACAGATAGCAAAACACAGTTCAAAATACACACAACGTTTATGTGGAATGAACACACAAATAATCTAACAGAGACAAATTAACAATCACATTGGAAATGAGAACTCAAATGAATTGAAGGAACAAGGACATGCAAGAGAACCCCTAAGGTGAACTCGTTGATGAGAGGTGACTAGATTCCATCCATGGTATCAAAAGGCCAAAGTATTTTAATTGTCTCTCTCTCTCTCTCTCTCCTTTTTTTTTTTTTTTTTTTTTTAAGTCATTCTCTCTTTCTTTTTTTTTTTTTTTTTTTTGGTAGCCTTTCCAAAACCTATGTATTGGACTGTTTTTGTTTTCATGAAATACAACCTATTATTTTGTATACTTCTGTAATGTGTCATGTCTCTGATTCTGCAGATGAAGCAGCTCTGGTGAAGGCAGCGAAGCAGATGCATCATGTGTTCACAACCCGTACACCGGAGTATGTCGTTGTTGATGTGGTAAGTGTGTATTTACCTTATATTAATAATGAGTGGCTGGCTGTGGGGTGAGAGCACTGGGCTGTCACACAGAAGACCCAGGTTTGGTTCTTGCCAAGAGATGGAATTTATTTTGGTCAGGGGCATACGCAAAAATTCCAACCTGTATAGGTTTTGGCAACTGCTCCAGCCTTGCACCCGTAACCTTTTCACCCCTGTGAATGCTATAAAAATAGATCATGAGTTTCCAGAAAAAATCTTGTGTTAAAAAAAAAACATACTACACGAGTCACTAATAAATTGTTAAAACAGTTATTATTTATTGACATTTTAAAACAGTTGATGAAATATAAAAAGGTATATGAAAGTATGATCAATAAACACAGAGTAAAGCATTAAATGGAACACATTACCCGAGACCTTTAAAAAAATATATCCAGTGACTTATGCCATGACCCCATGACCTCTGTCAACTGAGGTCATTTCATGAGAATTCAATGCTACCTGCAGTGAGAGCATACAACATGAAAGTAGAAACATCAAGAGGTAGAGAACGACTAAGAATAAGATGGATTGAAGGAGTCACTAATATCTTGAGACTCCACAAAATGCCGGGCAACCGAGTATGCCCTAGTTTGGGTACCGACAATCTGTTAACCTGAGATGTAGCGGCACAAAGCAGGATATGGACCACTCAGGCAGATAGCTTAACCACATCTCCGCTGCTTCAAAAAAAAAATTATTTTTTTTCAGTAATCGTCCAAATGTTCTTAATTCACTTCTATAAACCAGGGTATGGTTTATATAGCTATCAAGAATAGTGTTTGTTGACTTTGTGAAATAACGAAACTTATACGCATTGCTTTTTCTCAAATTTTTTTCAGATGGGAAAACCGAAGAAGTACCAGGTCTTGAGTGTCTTGGAATTTACTAGGTAATATTTCGTTTAAAAAGAACTCACTGTTTGTTTGTCAGTAGCATAAGAACAGTCTGGATTTGAATATTTAAATGGTCAGCCTGTCTTATATTCTGGGCTTCCAAACGCAGCAGTTGTATTATATTTGTAAAGTATGTTATATTCATATAGCAATAGACATAATATGAATGTCAAGTAAACAGCAAAGAGTAAAATTCTCACCTGGCTAATACAGCGCCAGGTACACCAAGGCAGTACTTGTTGTAACCATTATGGGTGCCCTAATTATATCTTAAGGGGAGTTGAATGTTGAATTAGGAATCAACATTATAGCACTCAGGACACTCCTATAAGCGCTGTGTCCCCATCTTCAGCAGCAAGCAAAGAGTTACAGTTCTGGTGGCATCGTTAACTCTCACCTTTCCCTTAAGCATGGCCATATCCCTTGGTGACTCCTCGCAGCACCAGTTCTCAGACCTTAATGATCTGTTTTTGCCTCCGCACTCTTCACTCTCTCCCATAGGGCCCTTTCAGTCTAGCTTGTCATACATCACCTCCAGACCAAGTGGTACAGAACCAGCCATTCTATGTGCTTGTTCATTTCCCAGTACACTGGCTCGATCTGGAGAAAATATGCAAAGGCTGCTAACTACCTGTGACCAGTGAAGTTATGCTTGCCTCTGTGCATGAAGCATGCCTGTCTCCACCTTCCTCGCATGCTCTGTGAGTCAGATACAGTTATGACATGTGTGTACAGCTGGTTCTCAACCCAGCAGTGACTGCCTCCACCTCCATTCTCAAACTAGACATTGTGGTATCATATGCCAGGCTTTGTTGTAAGTAAAGTAAAGGACCCTTTTCCACGCCTTTAGGCGTATTGGGCATATAGGGCTAGACCTGTATTTTATAAACCAATCGGCACAAGATGGGTGATGTGGTCAGCATCACGCCGGCCGCTTATACTTCTCGGGACTGCACCCGGTACCCACTGAAGACTGGGTCGACCTGGGAGCCAAGGTCATTTTTGAAAAAAGTCAGGCTTCACCAGTTAGCGAATGCTTTGTTGTACTCAGTCACATTCTTTCGCTTTTGCTATGAACCCCGATGCACTTTGTCTGCCTCTCAGCACAGAGCTATGTGTATAGATAATCACATCACCTGGGCGGGAATCTTTATGGGAGTTTGAACTGGTATCTGGTATGTCTTGTTTGACTGACACCCAGTAAAAGGTGTTTCTTAGCGCATGGGGATCAAACCTTCAGGCAGCAGCCCAGAGGGGACATATGAACACTAACCCTCACTTTGCATACATTTTGATTAGTTCAGATATAACTGACATGACTTACACTATGTTGTCCACCTTCTTACTTTGATTACATGTGTGATGTGTTATTTAGGTAAACCTTTATACACGAACCACGCTTACTAAAGCTTTTCTGTTTATTCATTCATATCTTATCAGTGTTGTCTTGTTCATATTTGCACACAGCATAATAAGTTTTCCACTTTAATGTAAATGGGTTTCTGTCTTTAATGTTGACCTTATTTGTTTAGAAGCCTTGTTGTCTTGTCCGTTGAGTTTTCCAGTCACAATGTGTGTTCTATTTAGTACTCCATTGGTAAAGACTGGTCAAAATGTCCTGTTGTATTTGTGCATCTTTTTTTGTTTCTTCATTCAAGCTTTCTAGTATCATTTTATGCTGTCTTTAGCATTTCCATGTTAATTTTTACATAGCCCAAGGTTTTGTTTGAAAATGTTTTTAAAATTCTTGTTAACTTTCCAATTTAGCAAAAGAAAGAGGATGTCTGTAATTGTTCGGACCCCAGAAGACAAGATTGTGTTATACTGCAAAGGAGCGGTATGTTTGTGTCCTGCTAAACGTATATTTAGGGGTTCCATTTCAGCATGTGTGGGATTGTGAACCTGGGTTCACAGTAGTATGTTCCTGTTTGATTAGCTAGCACAGGCCTCTCTTTATTCCTCCCCCCCCCCCCCCCAATCCCCTTCTCTCTTCTCTTGATCTCTTTCTCAGACTGTCTCCTTCCTACTCTCTTCCATTTAATTCAGCTCTCTCCTCCCCTCCCACTATCTCCCCCTACTGCTGTCTTCCTCTTCCTCTCACTCTCTTCCCCTATTCTTTCTTTTCTCCCTCCCACACCCCGCTCCCTGGGCCCCCCCCCCCCACTCTCTGCACTCAAATGTGTGTGTGTGTGTAAGTTCTATCAACCTCCATTTGTGTATATTTATGTGTAAGTGTGTGGACACAAACATCAGGTGCTAGTGGTTTCATGTGTAATGGCTAATCAAATATAAATCCATATCATAGATACCAGTGATGAGGCTGTTTCTGAGTATGAAATATGAACTTGCTTGCAAGGCCCTTCATACCAGAATAATAGAAACCACTGTGCTAATTCGATCTCAGGAAACTGATGACATATCCTAGAAGCAGTGCATAAATTCTTCCTAATACAAATAACTGTCATTGCTGTCTGTAGTTGCCACTTTTTTACAGTATGGGTGTAGTGTTTTTGAGCCTGAAGATTTAAGGCCACATGGCTAGTGTTGTCATCACAGAATGTGCAGGTGAGCATTTTATTTCTGCCCCCAACAGAAAATTATGTGCATGGTTAGTATAATTTCTTTCGCACTTTTAAAGTTATCATTTGAAAAAATCCACTTCACTGCTTTTTTGAACCAAGGTCTTTTAGGCTATTAGCAGGCATCTAACCACTATGTTATTTAGACTCCACACTCAGTAAATATTTACATTTATTTTGACTGTGATTACTTTCTCCGCTGAGAACAATACATTGCTCAATTGATTGCCTATTTCACTGAGTCTTGTCAGGTGCATTACTACAGGGTTAAAGCAAGTTATAAAAAAGTTTATTAAAATGAATCCTTTTCAGTGCAACACATTAATCACTTTGTCAAGTTAGACTGCATCTCTCCACCAGAAATTCAAGATCTCCTATGTATGAGTTGAAATCTTCTGGAATAAATTTGTTTTTTAAAATCTATAAATAAATGGGTTGTTGTTATATTTACATAGCATAGGAGCGTAGAATTTTATTGATACAGCCTCAATCACTTTTATATTATTGACCATACACTGAACAGATGTTTGCTCAAAGTTATCAAGGCTGTATCAGTAAAACTCTACTTTCTTATGTTATGTGAACAGAAAGATCACATGGTCAGTTTGAAGTTACCATGGTAATCATGTGACTGATTTTGAATTGTTTTATCATTTGTTGCTTTTCTGTAACAAACAGGACAATGTGATATATGAAAGATTAGGATCGAACAGAGCTTACACAGAGGAAACTCTTGCACATTTGGAGCAGTTTGCCTCAATAGGTAAGCTAGTTTCTCTGTTCAACAGATGCAGTATGTAGGGATTTATTTAGTCTGTAAGGCAGTCAGATGCCTAAGAAAATTGATGAGCATTAAAGGGGATGAATTCAAGAAGGGCCAAGAAATGTCTGGACAAAGGCTGGTTCCCGTGGTTATAGGGTCAAGAAGATGGCAGTAAACTTGGGACATCCTGGGGAGAAGCTGACAAAGAATCACCAAACAGGCATTTAAATGGGAAATAAATGGGTTGAGGAAATGAGGACAGCCTGGAGAAACCCCAAGTTGAACATTGAGAGAGAGAGAGAGATCAAAGATGCCAGGCAGATTCACTCTAACTGTGAAGGAAGCACCCCTAATTAATTGACTTTTACTACATGGTTTTAGCGGGGACTGAATTGTTCTTTTTCCACCCAAAGTGGGCCCCGGAACCCACACAATTTATATTATTCTGTATGCTATAATTGGCATCAGTAGCTTAAGGAACGCAGTTTCCACATACATGGGCTAGACATCAGCTTTAGGTGATTTGGTAACGAACCACTCTGTGATAATTTCAAAAACTCTGTGAGCATCATTCTCTTCTTGTTGTTGTCTCTGTCTTTGTTGTAGTTGTAGTTGTTGTTGTTCTTCTTCTTCTTCCTCTCTCCTCTTCTTCTTCTTCTTCTTCTTTTTCTATGTTTACTCATGAATTGGCAGTCAGCATATTGTGTTCTGATTTATAGCTTATCTGCGATATCTACACCATTCGCCCTGCACATCTTCTTCTTCAGCATTCATCTGAAGACGTAACTGTGTTGTGCCGTTTACAACCTAGCTGGGATATTTGTGCCTTTCGTCCGACTTCTGCAGGCATTTGTTAACTGTGTTAACCTTCCAGGCCCCAGAACGTGTGACTTTATCAAAATCCTGATAAGTTGCCTTTTTCAACATGCATCTTAGAGAAGCAGTGAGTATTCTTTTTCCCCCAACCCAAAATGGGACCTTGGAACCCACAAGGTGAGTCATACTGTTCAAAAGCAACGGCAAACTTAGTCATTCAGTATATGCTTTGCAGAACGTTGCCCTCTTCATGACGTACCTGAAAGCCACTCTAGCCATTTCTTCAGCCCTGTGAGCTTAAATAGCCAATGCATCTTCATTTTCCTGTATCCACTTTCGCGTAGGTCGGTCTGTGTCTCTTTTTCCATAAACTGTACACTCCATCCCCGTTCTCTCCAGACCACCGTGGCGTTGAACATGTCCTAATTACCTCAGTGGCAGACTACTGACCGAAAAGGCTTAGTCAAATCACAGACGGCCATGATTGCTGTGGCTGGCTATTTAAATCTTGTAAAATATATGCAACTGACTTTTTGTTTGTACTCTGTGGTCACTGGAAGCAACACCTGTGGATTTATCTGTGGAATAGAGTTTGTTCTGTTTGTACTAATCGGGAAAAGTTAAGTTTTTGATTTGGTCTCCTCAGGTTTACGCACACTGTGTTTGGCCATGACCGAAATTTCAGAAAGTGGTTACAAGGACTGGGCTGACACGTTTTACAAAGCCAGCACTGCCATTGTTGATAGGGAGCAGAAATTGGAGGAGGCTGCAGAGCTCATTGAGAAGGTAAGAATGTGTAATGATCTAAGCATAGGCAAAGGTTAGTATGTAGACCTTTTTTAGCAGAGTTACAGGAGACAACCTCGATTACAAGAAAACCCAAGCCCAAGGTAGGTGGACCTACGTGCCTATGGGCTGAATGGTTGTAGGGGATGCAGTCTCAAGCATAGACGTCTTCAGTGGGAGGGGTGGCTCCAGGCAAATGGACCCCTCTGGGAAATCCACTGCCTCTTCCCTAGCAAGCAGACTACATTTAGTTCCTGCATTTAAAAAAAAAAACTTTAATCTGGATGTTATTAAAACAAACACTTTAATCTGGATGTTATACCTAAAAATAAAAAAAGAATCATCACCAGACCTATGGAGTGCATACTCTGCTTCATATCATCTTCATCTAGCAACAAAGAGAGGGCGAAGAGGAAAGGATGAGGAAATGGAGAGAGAAGAAGGTGTAGAAATAAGGGTGCCGGAGCCAGGAGAGTCAGAGAATAAAGCAAGCGCCCAGGATTCAGGCATGTTAGACTGGGTTACTGGAACTGGCGTTGTGCCAGACAGAGAGGGATTTATTACTTTGATAACATCCTGCTTCAGGAATTAGATGTAGATAGATATACAGAGTGCCCCTGATATATAAGTTACATAAATCCTGCTGAACAGGGGAGATATGGGGCAAGGTCTGCTAGTAAAGAAAGAAGTAAAGCATGTGGTACTTGACCCGATCCAGTGAAGTTATGATGCAGTAGAGGTTCAGGGAATACAGATAGATATTGGTGGTACAACCTATAATTAAGTAAATGTTTATGCTGCAGTGAACTATATGTTCACAAAGAAACACTGAATGGCTTTAAGATTTGGAAGAAATCCCTGGTAACAGGCTTCTTTATTTGTGTGGGGATTTTAATGCAGGGAATTGAGCATGAGACAGTAATGGGGAGAATTGACAAGGAAATTAATTCTGCTCTAGCAGAGGCTATGGTAGATGCAGATGTAGTTTGTATAAACAATGATATGCCGACTAGAATGGCAGTGAAACCTAGTGATGCAGACTCAGCCATTGACTTGGCATTTGTTACCCATTTGTTACCCTGTCAGCAGTACTGTCGAAGGCGACCATGTGAGTAAAATTTGCCATGCTCAGTCTTGATTTATTAGGCTGGCAAGATTAGGGCCATAAGAACAGGTTAGACTTTCAAGTATGAGAGAGTTAACACCCTTCTTGGACGCCTTCATCAGGATGTATACAATAGAATCATAATTGTTGAGTTTTTGAAAATTCTCACTATTCCCTGTTTGGTTCAATGGCCCTTTTTGGGGGTTAAGAAAGAATAGAGTCATTGCCTTTGATAAGCATGTTGTAAAAAGCAACTAATACAAGGTTTGTTGAAGTTGGATGTGCTGGGTAGAAAGGCGCAGATATTGCAATCTAGCTGTAAACCACAATGCAGTGTGCTAACCACCATTTTAAAGGTGAAAACATAGGAATACAGAATTTGCAAAATAACTCCATCATAATTGCCGAATCATGTTCTTTAAGTCATATCTTGAATCTTTGTCACATGCTACTCTTGCAGGATCTGAAGTTACTTGGTGCCACAGCCATTGAAGATAGACTTCAAGATGTAAGTAAATCTGTAATAGAGCTTTCAGCTTTCTTTCTTGAAAACGATTGATTGGCGCCTTTCCCTCTTTCCAGACAATAGTGTTATATTGCACTATAAAGAGGCATGGGACTCACAGCCCATAGCGATGGGGAGTGTGACTAACAAGACCCACCTGTGTTAAGAAAAGTCTTCCACAACTATAGCATGGGATTTCAGGACCATTTGTGTTTAGTCTGTTCCTTCTCAAACACTCAGCTCTTATCCTTTCTGCAGTCATTTCTTCCTTCATTCTCATTCCCTTCCTGATGTGCACCCTCTACACAACACGATCCATGGCATTTTGTTCCCATGAGTCCAGCTCAATAACTTTATCTGCTGTAAAGCAGAGTGCTGCGAACACAAGCCTGATAGACAAGAGTTTTGGTTTTAATCATGAGCTTTCTGTTTTCCCAAACTCTTTGTTTCTGAAACAGTGTCATAAATTTTGAGTTCTGTTTACAGTGGCTTTTCTGTCTATATTGCTATATATAGACTGTGTTGCATTCTGTTTTTTGCTTATGTTTAATTTGTGTTTTATGCTTAAAATATTTTGGTAGTAGAAAGGGTGGGGTGTTGCTGGAAAGGGGTTTGAGGGTGTTTCTAAATGATGCAATACCCATACTGTTGTCAGAATCAACTCAAAATGCTCTGATACCAGTATTCAGAATTATGAAACTAATTTCACAACCCCTAAGTCAAAGATGCCAAATATCACAACTACTAAGCCACGGATAGACAGGAAAGATTGTTACTTGTGCCTTTGGAATTGGACCTCTGCGCTTGATGTTGAAGATGAGGAAGGAGCACTTATTGGAATGTTCCAGGTGCTGTGAGATGGATTCTTAATTCACCATTCAACCACATTCATCATTCAGAAGCCAAATGCTATTGAAGTAAAACAAGTTGAATATTGTCCTTAGGAAAAGGGGAGACCTCCATGGCCAGGGTGTTTGCTTTTCACTGGGAAGTTTGTGGGTTTGATTTTGTACTCTGTTTTTCTTTTAATGAGTGCAGATGTTCCCATTGACGCTGGAGGTACAGTTTATTAGCTGTCCTCTCAGCAGCTGAAAAAACTGTCCTGCTGGGAGAAACCAAGCCATATGAGATTATGCCTGGCTCAGTGAAGTTGATAATCTAGCCTTACAACATCTGAAATGCTTTTTTTTTATATAGTGAGAATCAGCCTGGAGATACTGAAAAGTTTTGTAATAAAAATAGGGGTGACTGGTCAGGCTGGTATCAAGAATTCGATTCACTGAACTGTAATTAAGGTGCTCAGCAAATGTTAAATGTTGAATTAAGAATCAGAATCACAGCACTTGGGACACTGCCATAAGTAATGATCTATATGTGCCTCCGCACTGTTCACTCGTTCCCAAAGGGCCCTGACCACATCTAGCTTGTCATACATCAATTCACCACCAAGTGGTGCAGAACCAGACAGTCCATCTGCCTGCTCATTTCCCAACACACCAGTATGACCTGGGGAAAATATAGATGTACAATGAAGGTGGGAATGGGGGTGGGGAGACACAATAACAATGATATGTTTTTGCAGCAGCCTTTACCCACAAAAACTACAATGGGGGAAAGTTTCCTGGATGCCGGAGAGGTACGTTCATAACTATTTTATAGCTATCACACACATTCCCAGTAAAGTTTCTTTGTTACATATGCTCTTTAAGAATTAATTTGTAGAATTTAATGTCAGGATTTTCTTGCTAATTAAAGAAGTGTATTTATTCTTTAGGCTCTAACTTAATACACATTTACCAATCTTATCTCAAGGATTTTTTTTATATATTTCAGGGAGTACCAGAGACCATAGACACTTTAGCCAAAGCAGATATAAAGATTTGGGTTTTGACGGGTGACAAACAAGAAACAGCCATCAATATTGGTAACTTTTGTTACTGTCTGCATCTTCTTCTCATCCTGCACCTCCTCCTCCTCCTCTTCACTTTGTCCCTTGTGGAGCATAGCTGTCAGTCAACTCATGCCAAGTCTTCTAATCCTTTACCAACTTTTACAGTTCAGTCAGTGTCCTTTCCATTTTTTCTGTCTCTAATTCTCTTCTTGTTAGGCTGTAAACCCTGTTGGTTTCAGTGCAACGATAGTCAAGCTATTCTTTTGACAGGTTCAGTATGTGTCCTGCCCAGAACCAGTGTTTTTTCCTCACCTCTTGATTTATTGAAATTTGCTTAGCTTTTTTCCAAAGCTCTACTTTAGTGAGCCTTTGATTCCCTCAGTTCTGCACATGCACCCGGTAGGACTGTTAATAAATGTTTGTAATTATTAAGTTGACAGTTTCCAGTGTTTCAGCTCCATACAGGAATATTGATTTTATGTTAACACTGTGTTTAATGTGAATTCACTTCCATAGATTTCTAAGTGCTGTGAAGTTCCTCTGCCTTTTATTAAAGGAGTGAAAGAAGGGAAGAGACTGGAGTTTGGTAGAATGGAGGAGTGGAGAGTTAGGAACAAGGAAGTGATTGTATACACTGTGCAGGAAAGAAAACTGGTAGGATAAAATAGTAAAATTTAGAGATTTAGAATGCAGGAAGAGAGAGACACTGGCAGAGAAGCATTTATACAGGAGAGAGATTTAGAGAGAAAAGTTAAATAGTGAGGAGTGAAGGAAATGCTTGGAGAGAGATTAAATACCTAATTATTGCCGTAAGATCAAATCTGTATGTTGCCTAGCCTTATTACTGCCATAATCTCTAATCTTTATGTTTCAGGATATTCATGTAAACTTTTGAATCAAGGCATGGACTTGATCATTGTCAATGAAGACTCCCTAGATGTAAGTCTATACATGTTTGTTTTCCTCCCCCCCCCCCACCCTTCTCTCTCTCTCTCTCTCTCTCTCTCTCTCTCTCTCTCTCTCTCTCTCTCTTTCTCTCTATCTATCTATCTCTCTCTCTCTGTCTCTCTCTCTCTCACTCTTTCGCTAACTCTCTGTGGGTGGGGGGTTTATGTGGGTGTAGGGCCTATTTATCTGATGTCTGAGATTGTCCTAAATATCATTCTGCAAAGGGTTAGGAATAACTTTGGGAACAAGCGATGGGATCAGTAGAGAAACAAGATTATTATGACCTGAAGAAAATGAGGCACCTGGGTGTAACCAGAGGGCCTGGCCGGCTCACTACACTCAGAGCAAAGGCAAGACGGACATATAACTAGATTACAACCGGTACCCTCAGTATTGGAACTCTGCCCTGGCTGCTGAAGACGAGGACAGAAATGCCCAAAATGCATGCATGGGAATGCCCAGAGTTCTGTGATGTCAATTTTTGACTCAACTTGACTCAGGTTTAGGAATAACAGGTTTAGGAATAACATACAAGCAAAAATAGGGGAAGAACATTGTGTTTTGTTTTTATAAGGCCTAGTTGCAACAAAGGCTGAGTACTTTCTGAGTAAATGATATATGCATTTGGTAGATGTAAACAAAGACCTGCATGTTTGTTACACTGACTATACAGATGCATTAAACAAAGTAAAGCACATGGGTATGAATATCTAGCTGTTTGTTATATGTACAGTTGGGATCTTTCCTCTGGGGTATGTGCATGTATTGGGGAAACAAACAGCTTGGCTCGTGCTATTCCACTGGGAGGTGAACTGATGCTTGACAAGCTAGATTTGGTCAGGGCCCATTGGGAGCAAGTGACCAAAGCAGAAGCATGAATAGATAATTACTGTGTGGAGGGATTGGTGCAGCGGTATCTGGCCGACACTCTACAATCAGAGGAAAGGCCAGAGAGACATATGACTAAAACTGCTACTGGTACCATCTGCATTAGAATTCTTAACTGGCTGCTGAAGATTAGGACAGAGTATTCGTTCAATTTTCCTGATATAAAATTGTAGATGAATTTTGTTAAGATAAATAATTGTCCATTAAACTATGTGATTCATAATTTTTTTTTTTTTAGTGCATTGTATGCATTAAAAAAAAAAAAGCCCATTTTAAAAAGGTATATTTAAAAAAAAATATATTCTTGGTTCTCTTAAAATTTACTGGAAAGTCAAGTTAAAGTTTACAAAAAAGTCAGGTTAAAGTTTAAAGACTCTTTTCACACAATTTGGACATCACGCTAGACCCATATTTCTAGAGACCATCCGGTACCTGATAGGTAATGTAGTCAGCATCATGCAGACTGCATTCACTTTCAGGACACTTCCTAGTGCCCATTTTAGACTGAGTCGACCTGGGCGCCAAAGTCTTGCTTTTCTTCTTCATATTCACTGGCTGTAAACTTTGGTGGAATGTTCTGGTTGTTCATCCACTTCTGCACTTTTGTCTTGTTCCAGAACTTGAGTTTTGCATGCACATCCATTTTACAGATTTGGCTTATCTATATGCAGACTGTTGGTTCCTCTCCTCTTACCATGATGCACTTCAACTTCAAGAAAAATTCTGAATTAGCCGCCTTTTACAACATGCTTGTTAGGAGGGCGATGGGACTGTTGTCCTCCCCCCTCCCAAAATTGAGTCCCAGATCTCATGCGTATAGGAGCCGTAGTCAGTTACAACATAGATGTAGATTTGAACCTACGACCTTCTGCCCTGGAAGACAAATGTCCAGCCTCTGAACTACAGTGACATCCTTGAGTTTAGCACTTCTATTAATTCTGGGATATTATTCTCATCAGAGCACAAGAGATGCCTTAGTACGACATAAGGCACAGTTTGGAGAGCAGCTGGGCAAAGAAAATTATGCAGGATTCATCATAGATGGCCAGGTGAGTGTGCATTTCTCATTAGATCTCATTAGCAGTTGTTGGTGTTTTTGCTCCAGTATGAAACAAAATTAGGTGCATGTACTCTACAGGATGCTGCCGAACCAACCCCGAGCATATTGTGCTGTTTGGTTTTACTCAAGGCAGTTTTATATACAGTAGTTTGCCATTGCTTTTGAAAAGGTGGGCACTCCATACCATTGTCAAAATCAATGCAAAGTGGTCTGCTGTCGAATCGCCTGCTGCTGGAATCAAACCGAGTATTTGGGACCTACAAAGCAGTATTATGTGTGGGTAAACGATGTGATTTGATATTATGCGCTGTTAAATGATAAGTTATGATCGGATATTATGTGCTGTTAAATGATAAGTTATGATCAGATATTATGTGCTGTTAAATAATAAGTTATGATCTGATATTATGTACTGTTAAATGATAAGTTATGATCGGATATTATGTGCTGTTGAATGATAAGTTATGATCAGATATTATGTGCTGTTAAATGATAAGTTATGATTAGATATTATATGCTGTTAAACGATAAGTAATGATTGGATATTATGTGATGATAAATAATAGCTATGATTGGATGTTATGTGCTGCTAAATGATAAGCTATGATTGGATGTTGTCTGCTGCTAAATGATAAGCTATGATCAAATATTATGTGCTGCTAAATGATATGTTATTATCAGATAATCTTGTTTACTGCTAAGTAAGTTATGATTGGATCATATTGTGTGCTACTAAATGGCTAATTGTAAGTGAAAGTAGGTCAAGAACCTTTTTCATGCCAATTTAATATTTGGCATATGATGCTGGTCTTATATTTGTATAAACCAATTGACCCTCAGTGGGCTAGGTTGCCAGCCACTTTTACTTCCCTGGAAATTACTGCGACCATTTTAGGCCATGTGGAGCTGGGAGCCATTGTCATTTTTTTTAAATCCACATCTGCCCCTGATTCGAACCTAAGACCTGCCAGCTGGTTAGCAAATGTTTAACCTCTATACTACCATGGCTTCAGGTGGCTTGTTATAATTTGATAATATTTTGTGCAAATAAAGTTATGATTGTATAGTTTTGTGTGCTAGTCAGTGATGACTGATAATTGGATAATATTGTGTGCTAGTCATTAATAAAGTTATAAATGGAAAATATTGTATACTAGAAATGATAGGTTATAATGGGATACTATTGTGTGCTAGTCAGTGATGTTATGATTGGATACTGTTGTGTGCTAGTAAATCCTCTTCTCCGTCACCTCCCAAGTTCTTTCTAATTTGTGCATTCACATTCCATGATTCACTACCATACAGCAATAAAGGTTCTACAAAACATTTTAGTACTTTCTTTCAGACATCCAGAGAGAGGAACCTGTTGAACAATATGTTCTTCATTCTGTAAAATGCAGCCTTAGCCTGGCCTATTGTGCTCCTAATTTCTGACACACATCTTCTGTCTGATGTTGTGATGTTGTACCCAGATATTTGAATTTATGGACTTGGATCAACTTTTTATCTTTTATTCTAATATCACACTGTGGTGGTATTCTTTTCTTTGATGTAACCATTACCTCCGTTTTTTTTTTAAATATTCAAGGACATACCCCCTTTTTTGTGTGTGCACTGTCTGTCACTTAACTGTCCAATAATTATTGTAGATCATTTGCAGTTATCAATACTGTGTCATCTGTATAACATATGTTGTTCATATTATAACCTCCCACTCTAATTCCTTGTGTATCTTTGATGTCTCTCAATGTCGTCTTGCTATAGAGAGAGAAGAGGTCAGGTGACATAACACATCCCTGTCTTATCCTTGTTTGATAATGGTAAATTGTGGATAATTGGATTATATACTAGTAAGTGATCATGTATGGTAAGATTTAAATTTGTGTTTCTAGCCAGACACATCTGATTTCAGTGAAACCCTAATTAGTCGCCTTTTAAGACATGCTTGTCGGCGTTGCGAACGAGCTTCGTTTTGCTGGGGTGCCATGTTCAATCCCAGCTGCGGGCCTTGAGCCTTTTGCATTGGTTTCGACAGTTGTATTGAGAAACCGACTATTCAGAAGCAATGGCAAACTACTGGACGTAAATTTGACTAGAAAAACCACAACAGCCAAGAAATGCTGGGATTGGTTCTGCAACGTCCTATTAAGGATACGCAACTAACTTTTTTTTGGTTAAAGGCCAGTGAATCTATTTATTTTTTCTTCTAAAAAATGGGTACCTGAACCCACATAGGGACAATTGTAATCAGATATATAAGGACATACTGGCTGATGCTGAACTATTGGGTGGTGGATGGATGCGTAACAAGCTTGATGTGGTCAAGGTCTTTTAGGAGCAAGTGAACAAGGGGTAAACTTGAATATACCTCTTTTGGTCTGGAAAAAATTATGCAGCAGGGGGTGACCAGAGGATCTGGCTGATGCTCAGCACTCATAGGAAGCTGCTGTTTTACCATCAGAATTGTAACTGGGCACTGGCTGCTGAAGATGGAGATGTAGCACTTGGGATATAATACTGAGTGCTGTGATGTTGGTACTTACTTCCCCTAACAAGCATGTTGTAAAGGGCGAGTAATTAGAGTTTTTCTTCAAAGTAAAGAGCGCTTCTGCATGAGAAGCGAGGAACCAGCAATCTGCACACAAATAAGGCAGATCTATCAAATGTACATGCATGCAAAACTCAAATTCTGGAACAAGACTAAAGTCTAGAAGTGGATGAACAACCAGAACTATCTGCCAAAGTTTACAACCAGTGAATACCAAGAAGAAGCTAAATTCAACTTGTGATCAGATAATAAATATTGTGTCCCTGCTAAAGGACAAGTTGTGATAAGAAAACATTGTGTTACTGTTAAATTGCCAGTTTTGATTTTGCATTGTGTGCTACCTAGTGACAATTCTGATAAAATGAAACATACACTGCTAAAAGGCACTGTGGTTGATATAAAATGAAACATACACTGCTAAAAGGCACTGTGGTTGTTGTACAATGAAACATACACTGCTAAAAGACACTGTGGTTGATTAACAATGAAACATACACTGCTAAAAGACACTGTGGTTGACATAAAATGAAACATACACTGCTAAAAGACACTGTGGTTGATATAAAATGAAACATACACTGCTAAAAGGCACTGTGGTTGATATAAAATGAAACATACACTGCTAAAAGACACTGTGGTTGATATAAAATGAAGCATACACTGCTAAAAGACACTGTGGTTGATTAACAATGAAACATACACTGCTAAAAGACACTGTGGTTGATATAAAATGAAACATACACTGCTAAAAGACACTGGTTGATTAACAATGAAACATACACTGCTAAAAGACACTGTGGTTGATATAAAATGAAACATACACTGCTAAAAGACACTGGTTGATATAAAATGAAATATACGCTGCTAAAAGACACTGGCTGATTCATGTGCTGCTAAAACAACAGGTTATGATTTAACTGTCTTGCACATTGTGAGCAGATGAATTGCTATTTACATTGCAGTCTCTTGAGACTAGTAGAGATTGTATCTAGACCAGGGTTTTTCTTTTGGCAGTAGGAAGTGGTGGTCTGCAATACTGGCATGTTTTTGTGTGTTAAGCATCATTTGTTTAAACCACTACTGTAATCGCCACTTTGTTGTAAGTACAGCATCTATTTTATACACATTTTGTGGTGAATGCCAGTATTCTTTTTCCCTAAAATAAAGTCTACATCTAGACTTTATACATTGTTGAATTACTGGTAGGACTTGTTTTATGCATTAAATGATAGATGTAATTTTAAACATTGTGATCACAAACAACATATTGCACAAGTTATTGAATGGCATATTTTGCAGTATCTCATCATATGCATTAATGCTGAGTTTAATTCAACATTTTATGAAGCACCAAACATGAATTCTTTCAGCTAAAATGTAGAAATCACACTTTTGTTACATTGTATATCCTATAAACAGACGTCCAAGATTAACTACCATGGAAGTCTATGATTGATGACATATTTTTGTGTGTGATCTTTCTTTTATCTCTTAGTTGACATGGATGCAACTTTTATATTTCCAGTCACTGAAGTATGCTTTGACCTGCGACTGCAGGCAGGACTTTTTGGACATAGCACTCAGTTGTCGGGCTGTCATTTGTTGTAGGTAAGTAGCATGAGAACAGATCCTAGAATTTGCCAGCCATGGTTAATTTGTAATTACACAGTAGGCCTGGATGAAAGATTATACTTTCTTCGTTGTCCTGTTGCACCATTATATGTGTTGTGTGCTAAACTCACTTTGCTGTTCATTTGTACCAGGCGTCAGAGGCGTGGTCGCCAGTGCCAGTCATAAAGGCGCTGGATGATGATAATGATGGCAGAGGCGAGTGCGAAAGGTCCACATGATTAACATGTGAGACATGTCACATAGGGCTCACAGTTGATTTCTCCATTCCCTTGTTTTTTTCTGTGCAATCACTTTGATATCATGGATGGAATCCAGTCCAGCACCTTTGGCTTCTTTCATTTTCACCATAGGGTTTCTCTTCGATGTCCTTGTTTCCTTTATCCCTCTTTTTTTTCCCATTTTACTGCCTATTTGGTGATTCCCTGTTCATCTCTTCTCAGTGTATGTCTAATATAGTGCCATCTTCTCTTGTCTTTGGTGATTCTCTGTTCATCTCTTCTCAGAGTATGTCTAATATAGTGCCCCCATCTCTCTTGTCTTTGGTGATTCCCTGTTCATCTCTTCTCAGAGTATGTCTAATATAGTGCCATCTTCTCTTGTCTTTAGTGATTCCCTGTTCATCTCTTCTCAGAGTATGTCTAATATAGTGCCATCTTCTCTTGTCTTTGGTGATTCCCTGTTCATCTCTTCTCAGAGTAACTCTAATATAGTGCCATCTTATCTTGTCTTTAGTGATTCCCTGTTCATCTCTTCTCAGAGTATGTCTAATATAGTGCCCATCTTCTCTTGTCTTTGGTGATTCCCTGTTCATCTCTTCTCAGAGTATGTTCAATATAGTGCCCATCTTCTCTTGTCTTTGGTGATTCCCTGTTCATCTCTTCTCAGAGTATGTCTAATATAGTGCCATCTTCTCTTGTCTTTGGTGATTCCCTGTTCATCTCTTCTTAGAGTATGTCTAATATAGTGCCATCTTCTCTTGTCTTTGGTGATTCCCTGTTCATCTCTTCTCAGAGTATGTCTAATATAGTGCCATCTTCTCTTGTCTTTGGTGATTCCCTGTTCATCTCTTCTCAGAGTATGTCTAATATAGTTCCATCTTCTCTTGTCTTTGGTGATTCCCTGTTCATCTCTTCTCAGAGTATGTCTAATATAGTGCCATCTTCTCTTGTCTTTGGTGATTCCCTGTTCATCTCTTCTCAGAGTATGTCTAATATAGTGCCATCTTCTCTTGTCTTTGGTGATTCCCTGTTCATCTCTTCTCAGAGTATGTCTTATATAGTACCATCTTCTCTTGTCTTTGGTGATTCCCTGTTCATCTCTTCTCAGAGTATGTCTAATATAGTGCCATCTTCTCTTGTCTTTGGTGATTCCCTGTTCATCTCTTCTCAGAGTATGTCTAATATAGTGCCATCTTCTCTTGTCTTTGGTGATTCCCTGTTCATCTCTTCTCAAAGTATGTCTAATATAGTGCCATCTTCTCTTGTCTTTGGTGATTCCCTGTTCATCTCTTCTCAGAGTATGTCTTATATAGTACCATCTTCTCTTGTCTTTGGTGATTCCCTGTTCATCTCTCCTCAGAGTATGTCTAATATAGTGCCATCTTCTCTTGTCTTTGGTGATTCCCTGTTCATCTCTTCTCAGAGTAACTCTAATATAGTGCCATCTTCTCTTGTCTTATAACTGTACCAGTGTTTCCCTGTTTATCTTATTTTTTCACTCCTTTTGAATTTGTCTAATTTTACGGTCATTATTTTGCTCAGACATTTGAGATACTTTAGAGTACCAAAATATATAGGGTGCATGTTTAATGACTTTAGACTTTTTTAAAATCAGTACTTTGTGCACCATAATTAGATAAGTTTATTACATCATGTTTTCAAGAACCATGTAACCGTTAGTTTAGAATTTCATTGCTGTATACCAGTGTTTTAGTAATTGATCTTAGCTCAAATGGTATTATCTAGTGAAGAAAGAGCATTTTTGGTTGAACATATGTTCCTTAACAGTGGCAGGCATTATTTGAATGTAGTTATTGAATAATTGATGATGCCATTTCCAGATACCCTTGTGTCTCAGTCCTAATACTGTTAGCATTTTAAACAGTAGAATTGATTATGAGCTGTAATGTGGAAAAGAGTACCCAGAATAAGACACACTGTAGCCGTATATATGTTGTATTAAATCCACAGATGGAGAATTTAAAAAAAAAATAATAGGAACGGCGGTATTTTAAAAAATGCAGTCATTAAAAACACATCCTATACTAGGGAACTGAAATGTTGGCTTTTTCAACTAATATGCCTGGCTGATCTACTAAGCATGAGTGCCAGGAGGTGTTCTAGGGAGTGAAGATGTAAAAGTACCCCCCCCCCCCCTTCCCTCATAAAGTAAAGGATCCTTTTCTACGCCTTTAGGCATATAGGGCTAGACCTATATTTTATAGACCAATCGCCACAAGATGGGTGATGTCGTCAGCCTCACGATGGCCGCCTTTACTTCCAGGGTCTGCACCCGTTACCTTCTCAAGGCTGGGTCGACCTGGGAGCCAAGATCATTTTTTGAAAAAAGTCCGACTCCACCACGAGTGAAGATGAGTAGCTTGATATTGACCATAGTTGAGTGGTGAGAACTGACATCACAGCATTTGGGACATTTTCATAAGTGCTCCATCCTCATCTTCAGCAGCCAGCAAAGCGTTCCAGTTCTGATGGTGCCAGTAGTAGTTTGATCCTATGGCCGTCTTGCTTTTCCCCTGAATGTTGAGTGTCAACCAGATTCCCTGGTCACTCTTAGCTGTACCATTATCTCCAGACCACAATGATTGATTCGTGTCTCTGCATCATTCACTTGCTCCCAAAGAGTCTTGACCACATCTAGCTCAACCAAACTGCCCTCACACACACACACAAATTTCTGGTTTTTGTTCGGCAATGTTCTGTGATGGATCCAAAACTAAATTTAAACTATTTATTACATACTTTAATGTTAATTTTTCTTCATTACATCAGCAGTTCTTTTGAGACTAAAACCCCATTTTATAGAGACAGTGTCCCGCAATTCATAATTTAAAAAAATTCCAGTATAATATAATTAACAGGATTTTTGATTTTTCTATTTTTAAAAATGCTATAGGTCACCAGAGCAACACCTTATTTAACCGTTTGTGACCCCATTTGGAATCACGACCCATGGGTTGGGGACCTGTGTATTATATCCTTAATGCCGTCTTAATTATTTCAGAGTTTCGCCTCTGCAGAAAGCTGAGTTGGTAGACCTGGTCAAAGTATCACAGAATGCAATTACTCTAGCCATTGGAGATGGGGCTAATGATGTTGGCATGATCCAGGTATGTCTGGTGGTTTGTGTGTGTTGGAGTTGTTTTGAATTTTGGATTTATATTACAGGGTTGTATACACAAGATTATGCCCATGTGAGTTCTGGGCCGTAGTGTTGGTGATGAAAACGAGAATAGACTCACTGTTCCCCTTAGATCTGTGAAATAGATGTGTACGCTTTGTTCCGGTATTTAATGAGCAAGAGATCTATTAGTTGAAGGAGAGCGACCGAGAGACTACTTGTTCATCTTACATCACTAATTCATTATCATCATGTGTTCATCCACAGTAGAGAGACTGATCGCACTAGAAAACCATACCGTGAGTGATTTATTATAGTTTGGTTAAGCAGTTACTGGTTTTTCAGAGGCTTAGCTAGTGCTAGACCCAGACAGGAATAGCCTCAATTAATCATAAAACCTTGACACTTGGTAGTTGGTGAAATGGTATGTACAGTGATTTGATATCGCAACATTTTTCGCGACAAGGCTGACAACCACTGGTAACAACAGTTATAAGACAAAGAAAATGCTGCTGTATATGACAGTCTGAAAAGAAACGAGCAGAGAATCACCAGATAGGTACTCCTCATCATAAACCACTTCTTTCAGGGGGAGGAGTAGTTTGCTGTCCAGTACATGCTGGCTGGCACTTGCACTAAAGTAGGAATAAGGGGATTAAAGAAGTGAGGACATCCAACCCTCCCACCCCCTTAAAAAAAACATTGAATGAGAGAGGTCAAATGTGCTTGACTGGATTCCACCCATAACATCAGAAGGATAGAATGGAATGGAGGAGTAGACTGTGAGTTAGTGTGTGACATATAATGGCACATTAGGACAATGGTAATGATGGTGGTGATGACGATAGAATTAATAAAGTCATTGCGTCTTGTGTCTTGGTAAAAATCTGTTTCTTTCCTCAGGCTGCCCATGTTGGTGTTGGAATAAGTGGAGAAGAAGGCTTGCAGGCTGCTTGTGCATCTGATTATTCTATAGCCCAGGTATTTTCATGTTGTTTATGCTGTTACATGATTAGTAAGGATTATCATCACAGCACTCCGGACAGATCCATAGGAGGCCAGATCTCCTCCTCAACGGCTCCACAAGTGTAAAATGACTGATGATGCCTGTTCTGTGTTGGTTAATGAAACGTCTTGTCCCCTTAGTGAAATGTTCATTTCTTGCAGCTCCAGGCTACACCACCATATCCATCAGCCTAGACATGGATACGAAGTCATGCCCTTTGGCGTGCTCATTGTCATGGTAAGCGCTGGGCATGGCATTGATAACATCACTTCTGTCCAGTACTGGACCAGCCATAGCAACCGCAGTGTCAGTAAGAGGTTCTGAACCACATATGGTGTTGCATAAGGGCCGGGGCTTATACTGGTCAAGACCCATGTACACCTACTTGTCATCCAAGAAATAGGTTCCCAACTGGCCAGCATGGATAGGATTTCAACGGGTGTGCATTTGCCTGAGATCCAAGGAACCAACAGTCTGCACACAAATAAGCCAGACCTGTAAATCAGATGTGCATTCACCTTTCAAATCTTAGAACAAATGGACCAACAACCAGAACTTTCTGTGTATAAAAAAAAAAAATTAGTGAAGAAGAAAACACTATGTATCAAATACCTATCATTGACACTAAACACAGCCACAATAATTGTGTGTGTAAACATCTTGTGGCAGATATTTTTTATACAAAACGTACTTTTTCTTCTTCCCATTCACTGGTTGTCAACTCCGGCAGAAAGTTCTGATTGTTTATCCACTTCTGGACTTTAGACTTGTTCCAGAACCTGAGTGTAGCATGCACATCCATTTCAAAGATCTGACTTATTTTTATGCAGACTGTTGGTTCCTTGCCTCTCAGGCAGATGCTTTCTGACTTTGAAGGAAACTCCAGTTAGTCAACTCTTACAACATGCTTGTTAGGGAGGCAGTAGGTCTGTTCTTGTTTTCTCCACAATGGGACCCCGGAACCCACACGGGGAAGAAAACCTTCTTACGTTTTTATCGGCACACTTATTTGATGAGTTATTTCTTGTCCATTTTGATAAATCAACATACTAATTATGTTGAATGAAATTGAAGAAAAACCGCATGTAATATCATAAATCATCCAACCTGCCAAAGTTATTGTCCATATAATATCATGGGGCTTAGATAATAATGTCACACATTTAATGTCTTTCTTCATTCGTGTTTTTTCTGCATTGTTTCATTCAGGAGTTTTTAGTTATCCTTTTGAAATATTTAAAAAAAAAACATACCAGCTTAAATCAGATGAAGAGAAAGAGTATGTCTTTGACACGGATAGTTACAGCCCTATTTACTTGTTTTTTATAACTTCTTTTATCTTCTTTTACCAGTTCCGTTTCCTTCAGAAGTTGTTACTTGTCCATGGTGCCTGGAGCTATAGTAGGATATGTAAACTCATTTTGTACAGTTTTTACAAGAACATTTGTCTCTATGTCATACAGGTAAGTCGACTCATCTGTTCACCTGTTATTTGTTACCTTATTATTGTATTCTTAACCAATCCATGGTGCCAAGGATCCTATATCTTTTTCCATTCCATGAAAGGGGATCTGCATTGTGAAGTGGTCAGGCCGTTCGCCCCGCGCTCTGAATGTTGTGGGTTCATTTCACGGCTGTGCTTTTTTAGTTCACAAAAGCAGTTTTTGTGGCGATCCCTGGGAATTGTCACTGGAGCTATGAAGTTTGAGCTCTGTGCTGCGCTCTTGGCAGGCAGTTTGCCATTCTGCGGGGAGAGACCAACCCAGATGGAATAAAAGCCAGTGCAATTTAGTCGATTCTCTCGACTTTTAACCTTTAGCCATACCATGAAACACACCATGCATCCAGTGCTTGTCCCAAGCATCATATACTGATTGTGATCTTCTCACCATTACCAGTTTAGAGCCACTAACATCTGGGTGAGAAGTAAATTATGTAACAGCTGGGAGTGACAGAATGAGCCTGGGTTAGGAATGAGTTCATCACTACAAGACAGTTGGTTCATAAAATAGTAGCTGTCTGGGACTGCAAGAGTTCACTCCATCAGGTGCCGACTCCACAGTGAAGATTGACTCCAATAGATCTCCAAACGCTCTGTCCCTTATCCTGTTTTTACACTCTCACAGACTGCTGCCTGTCCATCTTGTGATGTTATCTTCCCACTAGAATCCTTGCCCACCTCTTGCTCTCTTGCCCTTGACGTTTCCCTCCAGTAGTATGGTTTTTTAAATTGTGTTATATCTTTTAATAAGGCCAAAGTATTTCGATTGTCTCTTTGCTAACTGTTGGTGACTTTTTTTTTTTAATATTATTTGCAGGAGGGGGGGGGGGGAAGGGTTGTAATATGTTGATGTCAACCTCTGCTAATGATATATAGGTGTCTACAAGTGGGACATGAATTGTACATGTAACAAGTGGATTGATGGGAACAGGATGCCAGGGTTAATGCAGAAGGTTACAAGCTGACCATTTGAGAAGAAGCATGTCCAGTACATGTGATGGCAACAGTGGTCCTAATATCCCTTGCTCTTCTTGTTGATGAATGTTCTTAACGTGAGCAGGTCTTGCTTGTCACACTTGCCATCGCCATGGGTTCTATGATTTCCAATCCTCACATTTTGGTCACTTGAAACGTCATGAAAGTTTGGAGAGAACAATAATGGAGGGGTATATGCTTGGGAAGAGAGGAAGATGTAGGCCACAGATAAAACGGGTGCAGGATGTGGCGGATAATCTCCAGATGGGTGTATCTGATGCGGGACATCTTGCCTGTGATTGAGAAGTTTTCTGGAGGGTTGTTATGTGAGCAAGGTTCTGCAGTGGACATGCTACTGACTGACTTATCCTCACTGCAGTACAATATAACACTGTTGTGTGGAAAGACGGAAAGGGATCAGCGGTAATACTGTAGTGTTTCTTTTTCTTTTCTAGTTGAAACTAAGACAGCTGCAGGGATTCGTACACTTTTCTTTCTGCGGTTTTCATCTCTACACAGCCTGGGGTTTTGCCTGTAGCCATTAATGTGGTTCACACTTTTCTTTCAGTTCTGGTTCTCTATTGAGAATGGCTTCTCTGGCCAGGCACTGTTTGAGAAGTGGTCTCTGGGATTGTACAATGTGGTATGTGGCCATATGAACCACAAGTGGCCCATACGTCTGTTGTAGTGTGGTGTGAAGATGTTTTTATATGTTCTTTGCTGACAATAAGCCGCATCCCTTGTTGTTATATTGTTTTGTGTTGATGTATTTTCTCAGTGGACATTTTTTTGTTTTTGTTTCCTGACCGTTGTCTATTGGACCACTAATTCTGCTGGTCGTTTAACTATAAAAAAGACCTTTTCATATCTATATTTACATACTTTAAACCCCCCCCCCCCCCAAAAAAAAATTTTTATTTTTATTTTCCTCTTGGGATTGAGGGAGGCACTATGGTGTAGTGGCTAGACACTCATCTGTGGATCCAAAGATAGTGGGTTCAGGTGCTGATAGAGCCAAGCTTTTGTTTTCCAGAAATGACTTTGGCTTCCAGGTTGACGTAGACTTAAATGAGGAGCAAGTAAAGTCCTAGCAATTAAAGCTGGATGGCGTGATGTTGACCAAATCACCCACCGAGTGCCGATTGGTCTGTAAAATAAAGGTCTAGCCCTATATACCCTGTATGCCTGAAGGTGTGGAAAAGAGTCCTTCAATTTACTTTGCTTGGGATTGCAGTCTGAAAGATTGTCACAGTTATTCAAATAGTCCCTTCTCAAATGCAAGTCCTTCAACATAAAGTTGCAGACACCCCACCCCATTCAACCATTTTACATACAGTGTTTGAGAGAGTATCAGTTAAAAAAATTTTTTTTTAACTAGCAGAAGACTGATTTCAGGCCAGAGATGCATCAGGCATGTGGTGCTTCTTGACATACATTTTCATAGACCAACTGACAGGTAATCTGCAGTTTCAACTTCATAGCAAACAGGTCACCCCATAACTGCTCCGATCCTATGCCAACCACAACCACACAGGATGTTCATCACAGTCCCTTGTGGACAAATTGTCACAAACTGCAGTATCAGCATATCCTATAGTATACACACGCATTAAACATATGGAAGCTGTCATAAGTGCTAACACAAACAGGCCAGCTGACAAGTTACTGGTGATGTGTGGGTCAACATCAAGCCAGCTATCTTCACTTCCCTGGACATTCCCTGGCCATTATAGACTAGATTATCTGGAAGCCAAAGTTGAGTAGGAAAAATCTAAACTTACTGTGAATTCAAATATTAGGTTTTGTAATGGAGATAACAGATTCTGCAGCCATATGTACAGTAAATTCAAGGTTGAGGAATTCAGAACTTTGCCCTTGTGGACAAGCACCACAGAATACTGAACCTGTGCTACAGACATGCTCTGTACCTGCAGCAGAGAGAGGTCCCAGGTTTAGCTGTTTGGCATTCCAATGAAAAAAAAACCAAGTTGTGTGGAACAGTGGAAGACATGCGTTGCGCCCAGACTTCATAGAAGCCTGTGGTCTTCTCATCTGAAAATGACTGGCAGGGAGAGTGAAGAAAACTGGCAATTATTTACATAATAGGGCTTTCTGTCACTTTAAAAAAAAAAAAAATAGCTTCTGTTGTCCGACTTGAACTTTGTGTGCATGCTGGGCTAGTTTTTGTTCAGTTGAGCCGTAAACATGAAGCTGTTTCTTCTTTACCATTCTTTGTTTGAAGTATTACTCAGCTAACCTATTCTTCCAGAGAGGTTCAGTGAAGTCATACATTGCATGCTGCCAGTGTTTTTCTCATACCTCAGGTGTACTGTCTGTTTTTGTTAGACGCCCGGGTGCTGGATGAAAGAAAAATGTTTATGTGATGATGATTTTTTTTTTTTTTTACTGGGGTAGAGTGGTAGCATGTCCACATACATTGTTTTGCTGTCCTGGATTTGGTTTCCTCCATGTGTTGCCACAGTCAAGTTCAGCTGGTGTATCAAAATAGTAGGTACTGAAGTCACGTAAATAAAAATGACATGAAGTAGTAATGTTTCCTACCAAATTATCCTATTAAACACTAAGTAAATTAAAATACTCAGGGTAATAATGCACAGTATAACACAAAATAACTCACTAGTAATGTAATATATGTACATGACAGCCTCTACAAATGAAAATGAAACTTCCTTTGACCCTAATGTTATTTATTACTATCTCCCTTTGACATTAACCTTAGTTATTACTTTCACTCCCTCTGACCCAGACCTTACTTGTTACTATCAGTCAGTCTGATCCTGACCTCAGTTGTAACTATAACCAGAACCATCTTAAGAGCATTATGGGCCCCTGGGCAAACCACTATGCTAGGGCTCCTAGAAGAACCACTCACAGAAATGATAGGTTTTTTCAGGGGTGTGTAGAGGGGGGAGGGAAGCTAGTCACTTGACGTACACAGGTTAACCTGGGGCGCATAGTGGCCCTAGGCAAATACCTAGCGGGCCCATGCATTAAGACAGAACTGAATGTAACTCCTCCTGACCTTAACCAAGAACCCTGATAGTGTGTGATGGGTTAAAGCAACAAGTGGCTAGGACTGGACAAGTTGAAGTAGTAGTTTTATGTTGTCTCCTGTGAGTTGTTTCATTCATCGCTTCATATGTGTGCAAGTTTTTTCAGTGCTTTTGGTTGTTTTTGTTTTTTTTACTGTGTTTATTTGACTGCTGTTGTTTTCTGGCGACAGTTTTGGTTTCAACTCTGGAATGGCTATTCAGGTCAGATTATCTATGAACGGTGGACTCTAGGTTTATACAATGTGGTATGTATGTGTGCCCAGCTGGCCAGTATCATCTGCTACAGTGGGGCCTGTTATACGTTTATATATGTTTTTAGATTTTTCTTTAATATTTTGGATACCGTAAGTTTTACGGGAGATGCAAAGTGAAGATGACAAACCATTATGAAATGCCATGAATTTTTTTTTTTTCTTAAACTTTTAAAATGGCTATTGATTTTGCAGTAGTGACCATTTGAGAAGGCCGATTTTCTTAGTATGTCCTGACCAAATATTAATTTAAAAAAAAAAAAACAGTAGGGTAAATTATGCTATAGAGAGAAATCAAAGGGTAGAATCATTAAGACATCAAGTGTTGCTTCAGATTAAAAGAGTTAAGAGTTGTATTAGCATATTATTTAGTGTGGTCAGCTGCCCAGACTGTGGTCTTAATTTAGTGTCCATCGGGGCTCCATTTGAGGGTGGGGGAGAGATGATAGATTCACTGCCCTGTCTCCTCCCCCCCTCCCCCACACATACACACACGTACACACACCCACGCATGTACACACCCATGCATGCACACACGTGTATGTGTGCACCCTCACATACACACCATTATGTATATCATAGCATCTAATTAGGGGTTTGTTGAAGTTGGATGTGTTTACTCAAAAGACACGGCTGTTGCTGCCTAGCTGTAAACTGCAACAGTGTGCTGACCACTTTTTTAATGGCGAACACGGAAGAAGAATTATTTTCCAGCCATTATGGCTGTAATTTTAAAAGAAACTGAAATTGTTAATAGGCTAATAAAAATGGGTACCAAGCAATGTTTAGAATGTTATGAGGATTATCCTGGAGTGAAAAGCGTACTTAAGAGATCATCATCATGTAGCAGGTCCTTTGCAGAATGTCGCTCTCATCACAGTCTGCCTGAAAGAAACTCGGTCTCTCGCCAGTTCTCCTGTCTCATATACTTTCATACTCAAGGAGTCACTTATATCCTGTGCCCATCTTTGTGTCGGGCGGCCCCTGCCCCTCCTTCCTGGTACCATGCCTTCTGCTATAGTTTTTTCCAATCCGTTGTGGCGCTTGATATGACAAAAACTTTTCAGCTTCTGAGAAAGGATGCTGTTTATTAGCCAATCTTCCTTGATGTTCAGATCTTTTAAGATGTCAATATTTCTCCTCTTCTTTGTCTAAGATATTCTGAGAATCTTTCTATAGCATTTCAGCTCAAAAGCCCCTATTCTCTTTCTTAAGGACTGAGAGATAGACTGAAGAGATATTATTGCTAAAATGCATTCTGTAATGCTTTATAAATCCATGCGGACCAGAAAAAAAAAATATCTATCTAAAGACAACAGAAATGTAGAAGCCAGCCAAGTGATATAGAATCATATATGGGTAATTTTGGTGTATGTGTGTGATTGCATGGAGGCATGCATGTTTTGTGTTGCTGGAATGAGATTTTCCCCTTGGGAATAATGTTTGAGTGGGTTTTTATTGTACTAGTAATCACTTTAAATCAGAAATCTGTACAATTTTATATTATTGTGTTGCATGTTTGTCTTGTATGTCAGTCTTGTGTAGTTGTTAATAAAAGTAAAATATGTTTGCTATAAATTTATATCAGTGTTTGGGACAGTAAATATTTTTTCTTAAATTTTTATATTTATGTAAAATGTTCCCCTAGTGCAGGACAATTTAACTATGTTCAACTTTGCTGGCCTGTGTTTTATCCAGTTATGGCCCGGTCTCTTCACAGAATAGTTGGCTGGTCTTCCAACAAGCAAGAGCATGACAAAAAAGGAAAACTCTGTGACTTTCAAAGGATGGATTCTAAAACGAATCCGGTGACCATCAAAGCTTGTGAAAAGTAGCTTTACCACTTCACTTTATGATGCCCTGAAATACACATGGGAAGGAACTATAGCCCTATATCTAATGTATCTGAAAACTGTGGAAAATGATGCCCTGGAATACACACAGGAAGGGACTATAGTCATATACCTAATGTATCTTTAAACTGAAAAATGATGCCCTGGAATACACACAGGAAGGGACTATAGCTGTATACCTAATGTATCTGAAAACTGTGGAAAATGATGCCCTGGAATACACAAAGGAAGGGACTATTGCCGTATACCTAATGTATCTGAAAACTGAAAAAGGGTGCCCTGGAATACACACAGGAAGGGACTATTGCCATATACCTAATGTATCTGAAAACTGAAAAATGATGCCCTGGAATACACACAGGAAGGGACTATAGCCGTATACCTAATGAATCTGAAAACTATGGAAAATGATGCCCTGGAATACACACAGGAAGGGACTATAGCTGTACCCTAATGTATCTGAAAACTGAAAAATGATGCCCTGGAATACACACAGGAAGGGACTATTGCCATTTACCTAATGTATCTGAAAACTGTGGAAAATGATGCCCTGGAATACACATGGGAAGGAACTATAGCCGTATACCTAATGTATCTGAAAACTGTGGAAAATGATGCCCTGGAATACACACAGGAAGGGACTATTGCCATATATCATATATGTCTAAAAGGTGAAAAAATGAAGCCTGGAACACACATGGTGCCGGTCAATACCATATGTCTAATGTGTCGAAAAATGTGCCCTGGAGTATACACAGTGAGGGACTATTATCATGTATCTAACATGTCTGAAAAGAGCATAAAATGCAGCCCTGGAAAACACATGACAAGGGAACATAACCATGCACCTCATATGTCTCAAAAATGTGAAATGTATACCTGATATGTCTAAAGCATTTGACAAGTGGGATTTGGAATGCACCCTGGGAGGGACTATTGCCATATATCTTATGTATCTAAAAGTGTGAAAAATGGGGCCCCGGATCACACACGAAGAGGGATTTGAAGTTATCACCCTATACCTTATGTGTGTAAAACAAAAACGGGAAAAAATTAAACTCCGGAATAAACAAGGGAAAGTACTGTCACCATATATTTCATATACGTCTAATTGTTTCGAAAAATGGGGATTAAGAAAACACAGGGGAGGGTCTATTGCCACATACCTTATATGTCTATGAAAATTTTTTAATAAAAATGAGACTCTAGAATAAACAAAGGAAGAAACTCTCGCCATATACTTTATATGTCTAAATAATTTGAAAAATCAGGCTCTGGAACAGGCATTAGGCGGGAAAATAACCATATAACTCATATGTCAAAATAATTTGAAAAATGGGGCTCCGGAACACGTATAAAGAGTGAATATAACCTTACTCCTTATATGTCTAAATAATGGGGAAAATAGACACATGACAAGGGAACAGAACCATATACCCTATATGTCTAAATAATGGGGAAAATAGGGTTCTGGATCAAACATGAAGAGTGACCATAACTATATACCTTATATGTCTAAATAATGAGAAAAATGGGGATCTAGAACATACATGAGGGGGAACATAACCATATACCTCATGTGCCTAAATAATGTGAAAAATAGGGCTCTGGAACACGCATGGCAAAGGAACATAACCATGCACCTCATATGTCTAAATAATGTAAAAAATAGGGCTCTGGAACATACATGAGGAGTGACCATAACTATATACCTTATATGTCTGAATAATGAGAAAAATGGGGATCTAGAACATACATGAGGAGAGAACAGAACCATATACCTTATATGTCTAAAAACTGAGAAAAACGTAGCCCTGGGATACACACAGGTAGTGAATATTGGCATATACCATATGTATGTAAATGGAAAAATGGGGTCGTTAATTTCCTTGCTTCACTAATTCCACATTTTGTAATAATTGTCCAGATATTCACTGCTGCACCACCATTAGCTATGGGCCTGTTTGACCGGTATTGCTCTGCAGAGACCATGATGAAGAACCCAGTCTTGTACAAGGATTCTCAAACTGGACGGCTGTTTAGTTTCAGAGTAAGAGAAAAATAGCTTGTTGTCTGTTTATAGCCTGTGAAAGTCGGGATGAGAGCTGGTTGATCTTTTGTTTTTATGTGGTAATTGAAATAGCCTTTTGTATATTACATGTTATAGTTGGGTGTTTATTTCCATTTATTTTTTGTATTTGTTCATATACAAATACAGGAACATGTATAGTGTATCCTTCTTTTTTTTTTTGCGTTCATCCTAAGCTGTCATTATGTCATGCCCACTTACAGCATAGCTGTGATATTTGTACATTTGTTGACCAGGTTAGCCTTCCCAACAGTGTATTCTTTAGGGTACAAGCTGCATACAATCTCTCTATCTCTCTCTCCCCTTTCTCTCTGTGTCTTTCTCTCTCTCTCTCCTCCCTGCCTCACTCTTCTCTCTCTTTCTCTCTGACTAGCTCTCTCTGGTGTGTATTACATATTAATCTGTGCATTTATATTTATTAAATAGTTTATTTATAAGTCCACAAATACAGAAGCACATACAGTGTAAATTTATGTGTACAAGATGCACATTTTGATTTCTGTCTCCAGCCCCCCCCCCCCCCCCCCTTTCCATATTTCCATCTTACTCATTCTCTCTCTCCTTTTTCTCTCTGCCCATTCCTTACTATTTTACACTCTTATTTTCTTTTTCTTATATACACCCTCTATGACATCAGTAATCACATTTGTTGGCAGTCATGCAAGAACACTCGTATTGATATAACAGAAAGTAGATGAGACAGGTTTATTTTTCATATATCCCAAACAGGTCTTCTGGTTCTGGATTACGAATGCAGTTTTCCATTCAGTTGTGCTCTTCTGGATGACTGTTGCATCCCTCCGGCAAGGTAAACTGTGTCATGTTTTTCCTCTGTGTAAATACCGTGTACAAAGTTTATTGGTCATGTGATGAGAAAAGGAGCACTGGAAAATATTGTGATGACTGGAAAGATCGCTGGTAGAAGAGGTAGAGGCAGACAAAAAGAAATGATGGTGGATGGCTTAAGACAGTGGCATGGAGGAATATTATCAGTGAAAATGATCCAGAACACCAAAGACCGAGATCTGTGGAGACGCATGAACGCATACACCAACTGGCAAGGCACTTGATGATGATGAGATACTGAGATGTCCGTCAGCACAAGAACTACTGATCACGTGAGTGTTCTTGTCTTGCCCCCATCCAGAGGGCTAAGGCATCCGGTTATTTATCTCTTTACCTTTCCCTTGCTCTTTTTCTATAAGTTTTGCCCAGTCCTCTACATCTTATGTCTCTAATCAGAGTATGGGTGTCATGTGTCTTAAGGAGGACTGCTTCATTTGTTTTTCATCTCCGTGTTAGTTTCGGAGTCCCACTGTGGGGGAAAACAAGAATAGATCCACTCACTCCCCAAGAAGCATTTAGTAAGAGTCAACTAACTGGGTCGAAGTCTGAGTGCATTTGCCTGAGAAGCATGAAACCAACAGTCTGCATACAAAAAACAGATGTGCATGCAACACTCAGGTTCTGGAACAAGTCTAAAGTTCAGAGGTGGATGAACAACAAGAACTTTCTGCCGAAGCTTACAGCTGGTAAAAAAAAAAAAAAATGTGTTCCGTGATATTCTTTGCAGTCTTCTCATGCAAATCCTGAAGGGTGTTATCATCAGTTGTAGTCAGAGTGTTGTAAAGACTTTCTCCCTAACTCAGTTCTGAAATATTGTCTCCACATGGTCTGTGTTGCAAAGCTGTCTTTTCCCTTCTCTAAGCTCAAAAGATGTTACTTTTCCCTATTTTTAGTGTACTAGCTCATAATTTTATATTCTTTGCTCATTTACTACACAGTTTTCAATGTTATGCCTGGACAACCACTAGTATCACAATTGTTAAGACAAGGAGTATGGCATGGCATTGGGCACATCCTTAGAGAAGAAGTAAGCAGAGAATCAACAAATAGGCTCTGATGTGGAAATCAGATAGACTGAGGATATACATCTTTCAGAGAAAAACCCTAAAATTATATGTTGGTGAAAGAGGGCAAAGATGCTGGATTAAATTCCATCCCTGATGTAGAAAGGATTTCATGGGATACAGTGGAATGGTGGAATCAGTTTTAAGCCCTCTGTGATATGTAATGGCACAGTAGGATGATGATGATGAATGTTTACTTATTTCATCTTTTTCAGGACATCAATGTTACAAGTTTCGACACATTTTTTTTTCTTCTATCCTCAGATGTAGCCTTTTCAGATGGAAAAGTTGGTGACTATCTGTTCATGGGAAATTTTGTGTACACGGTGGGTACACTTGTTTTCTCTCTACAGTATATTAAAGATACAGATTTACACTAAAAGTGGATTTAATAGTAAACAGTGGTGGAGAGTAGTGTTAAACAGATACAACGGTAATGGATCTAGAGGTTGACCATGCAGAAGATGGACAGCAGAAATATCGGAGACACTGAAAAGTACTTTATACCAAGCAAACAGAAGGGTCCATTTCAGAGATCTCTTCCTGCCCTAACGCTACAAGACATTCCAGGAGTAGAGAAAAAAGACGAAGTGATGGCGATTAAATATGTTTCTATGTCAAAAAATTTAGACTTGTTCTATTGGTAGGGAATAATGTTTAAGTGTCAGGTAATAAGAACATGGGGAATAAGGGCATGTTTTTTCGTGTTGGGGAATTAAGACAAATTTAAGTTTTGGGGTTAAAACGAATTTCAGTACTGGGTGAAATGGTAATAAAGAATAAGGGTGTGTTTCTGAGTTGGGAATTAGGTTTCAGTGCCAGAGAATAAGGATAGTGAGAAAATAAGGGCAATATTTCCAGTTTGGGGAATTGAGGCAAATTTCAGTTTTAAGAATCAAGATGAGTTTCATTTCCAGGGAATACGGGCAGGTTTCCATGTTGGGGAATTAAGACAAATTTAAATGTTGGGGATTGAGACACGTTTCAAAGCCAGAGTTCATCTCTATCAAGACTCAACACCACAGATTTCAGGACAAGACTGTTTTAGCCTGGTCTCCCTCCCCAAAAACCAGCGAAGAGTCTGCATACTGATGGTAACTGTTGTCATCTGGTTAACTACTCGTCTTGCCTTTCCCCTAAGTCTCGAGCGGTGCCCAGAACCTGTAGACACTCACTGCCAGGGAATAAGGACAAGTCTCAGTGTTGGGAAATAAGGACAAGTCCTTAGCGGCAAGACGCATGTCTGCAGGCCTAAAGGTTATGGGTTAAATCCTCATTGATTCTTATTTTATTTCTTTAAAAAATGATCTTGGTTGCCAGGTTACCCAGCCTTAAATAAGTGCCACATGGGGGGGGGGGGGGGGGGGGGGGGGGGGGGGGGGGGGGGGGGGGGGGGGGGGCTGTGTGGTCTTGAGAGAGTTTCCAGGTTCAATCCCTGGTAAGGGCTGGGATCTTTCCACGTAGACTTGGACTTCTAGTAATTCCCCTTGGTCTCTGGGTAGTGACATCAGACGCCCGTGTGCATTGTTGCGCACGTAAAAAATCCCTTGGCAGTTGGAAATCAAAAAGAGTACCCTAACGGTGCTGCCCAGGCAAAATTTGAAGTTAAAAATCTACCTAATGTATTTCAGGATCCTCACCGGTGCTACAGAGCCTGTGCACTGTGCTGAGCTTCTTTGGACTCAGACTTGAGTTAGAAGAAGACATGAGCACTTATGAGTTACTACCTTTGTACCATGATGTTGATCCATTGTTCAAAACCTCAAAATAAGTACCACATAAAGTCCTGTAAAATAAAGACTGACCACATTACCCACCAATCGGTCTATAAAATATAGGTCGAGCACTATATACCCAATATGCCTATGGGCATGGAAAAGGGTCCTTTTACTTTCATGTATGTATCAGAAAATCAAAGCAGTGTTTCCCTGTTGTGAATTTGAACAAAGAAGACATAAGCAATAGAATGCACAATTTATTGCCTGACATATTTTGCTGTAGGGAGCCACGTTAGCGCAGTCGATAGGAGGCTAGCTTTCAAATTCAGCTGCGACTTGCTGCAGCCACGGTCGGTGTTCGAAACCCGGGTTCACCCGGCCTTTAGGAAATGGGTAACAAAGTGACACTCTGGGGTAAATGGAGGAACGTCACTGTAGCTACAGAGTTACATGCAGACAGCGACACAGGCGGACAGTTTCTTATCAGCTGTCAGTACTGGTAGCAGAGCACTTATGGTTTATAACCATGTAAAATGACGCTGGTTCACATCTCCCGACTTTTTATTTTGCTGTATCTTGTCAGGTGCATACTACAGTAACAACTGATTGTAATGAATCAAGTAAATGAATCCTTTAAACTGAAACTCAAAATCAGCTACATATAAATTTTGCAATCTGTTGTTTGTGTCTTCTTTGTTCAAATTTCATGTGTATGTGAGTGTGTGTGCGTATGTTTATATGCCCCATGGCATAAAAAGCGATCTCATTTTATGTTCGGATTCACTGAAACACAATGGTTTGCATACAAAGTTATAACCTTTTTCTGTATATTGCAGTATGTGGTTGTGACTGTTTGCCTTAAAGCAGGACTGGAAACTATTGCTTGGACTTGGGTAAGTAACTAGATAGCTGTTCTACATTCAATAATTGTATTTTTTATTTATATCAAAATCAGTCAGTTGCAGGATATTTATTAACATTTTTTTAATGAAAAAAAAATAAAGTATATGTCTTTTCTTCTTATTGCTCAACAGCTGTAAACTCTGGGGGTAAGTTCTGGTTATTGGTCGACTTCTAAACTTTAGTCTAATCCAGAACTTAAATTTTGCAAGCACATCTGTTTTACAGATCTGGCTTATTTGTATGCAGTCTGTTTGTTCCTGCCTCTCAGGCAAATGCACTCGGACTTCAAAGAAACCCCTAATTAGCTTTTGGGGGAGGAGGGGGGGGGGAGTGTTTGTTCTTTCTTCCCCCAAAAATGGGGCCTCAGAACCCACACAGGAAAAGTGTATGTCAGCTTTACAGAACACAAAATACCAAGTAAATGAAGGACGTTCCAGTCACAGGATTTCATCAGAAAAACGAACAGTAAGGATGCAAAATGCTTATGCATGACAGTAAACAAAGAACGTTGCAGTGACTAGCCTTTATCTGTACTATAAAAGCAAACAGCGGCATAAAACAAAGCATCGTCTCCACCAACCCACACACGCAGGCATACACACCACACGCACACACACACACACACAATCGCAGGCACACACATAGAGAAATTAAACTAAAGTGAATACATTGTGACATTAAAATATCTAAGTGTATTAAACGACTAAAAAAAAAGACAATATAAACTATGTGGTACTTACCTGGTCCTCCACTGAGAATATTAAAAAAAAAATTAAGAGATGACTCTATAAAGGCTTACAGTGACTAGGAATCTGATCATCGGTTGAAACTGGAAATGAAAAGGAGTGGTTTTTTATGGAGGGTGGAGTAAGAAAGAGAGCAAAGGGAGAAAAAGTCTTTTCACCTCATCCTCCTTTGTTTGTTTATTGCCTTGTGTTCTGTAAATAATACTTTATGTCTTCTTCAAGTTTACCAGCTGTAAACCTTGGCAGAAATTTCTGGTTGTTTATCCACTTTTGGGGCCAAATTCTGTTCCAGAATTTGAGTTTTGCTTGCATTTACATATCTGGCTTATTTTTATGCAGAGTATTGGTTCCTTGCCTTTCATGTAGAGGAACTCCTTCAGTGGAAATACTTTATGTTTTTCCAAAAATAAAAAATATTGTTCACATTTTAAGATAAAATTTGTGTCTAACTTAAATACAGGACAAATAAAATCATTAACAAGTATGAATACTCATACATTTTTAAATGAACAAAACATTAAAGTAAAACGTAGGCTTGCTTAGAGAAATTATTTAAGCGTGTTTTTTTTTTTAAGTTACTATCAATTGATAAGTAATTATACAAATAGGAAAATGTCAGCCTGTGATAAAAGAGTCAAAACATAATTTTTAGTTTTTGAAAAATTCCTCCCAGATAGATGACTGCTTTGTGCATTTTGCCATCTTCCCTCTTCATTGCAGAGAATAAGTTTTTTTAAACTAGTCTGGATACCATTGATAACTGGCATCATGAGAGCTAATAAACTGAAATAGTTGGGGCATATTGAGAGAATGTCATGCCAGAGAAGTGAAAAATGTAAACACAAGAGAGATGAATGGTTGTAAACCGTGAGGCAGACCAAGAAGACGATGGAGAGATAATGTCCAGACAGACCTGCAAACACTTGGTGTCACCAACTGGAAAGAGAAGGCCAACCAGAGAGATGAATGGAGGCGGGTGATATCTGCAGCAATGAACCTCAGGGCTCAGAATGCTGAAGAAGAAGAAGAAGTCTGGATAATGCAAAGTCTGGTTAATTGCAAGCCAGATAATTGAGGTTCTACTGTACTAGTAATTAATGATTATTTAAGTTGTCTTGATTACAGCTGACTCATCTTGCCATCTGGGGAAGCATCGCTTGCTGGTTCATTTTCCTGATCATCTACAGCCATGTCTATCCGATCACTGGTCTCGCAGCTGAAATGGTCGGCATGGTAAGTGCATGTAGTTAAATGGATTTTGTGCACATTCTTCTTCTTTGCATTCACTGGCTGTGAATTCCGGCTGAAAGTCCTGGTTGAGTATCTACTTCTGGGCTTTGGCATTGTTCCATTACTTGAGTTTTTCATGCGCATCTCTTTTACAAATGTTTCTTATTCATATGCACTTTTGCTTACTCGCTTCTCAGGCAGATGAGCTCCGACTTCAAAGGAAACAAAGAACTTGTCAATGTTTGTCAGGTCCCCTGTAGAGAACCTATCTGTCAGATGACCGCAGAGAGATGTAGAGAAAGAGCATAGTGATTAGAATGGGAAACTGTCATCTTGTTGTGACTAGACTGTGGATCGGAAGGTGGTGGGCTCAGATCCTGATGGAGCTGGAGACCTTGGCTGCCAGGTGGACCCAGCTTTAAATTGGTACCAGGTAAAGTCCTGGGAAGTAAAGAGGGCCACCAGTGGGATGTTGACCACATCACTCAACAAGTACTGCCAATTGGTCTGTACAAAACCTAGGTTTAGCTCTCTATGCCCGGTACACCTGAGAAAAGATGTCCTTTACTTTACTTACTTGATCATAATGATCCCTGGTCCTTGTGGTTCAGCACGTCTGCATTCCTCATACACATGAAAGTCTTATCTCTGACAACCTCTTTTGCATGCATAATATTTTGAAAACCACTTGTACACATATTTCATGGAGTGAGATTTTGAAGGATTTTGACACTTTTAAACTAGGGTGTTAATATATAGATGTATGTAACACCAACATTGTGTTATCAGTGCCAAATGTGGGCATTATTAATGGGGGGAAAAGGGAAAATCAAAACAACAGAAATGAAATGTATAATGAATTCTAAATAGAAGACACAGGGTGGGAAATAACAATATCAGGAAAGAAGTAAGGACGGATCCGGTACTAAACTACATCAAGAGACAACAGATCAAATGATTTAGACATGTGTCAAGACTACCACCAGATAGTGCATCATAGAGAGCCCTGTCACTTAGACATAAGAGAAGCAGAGCTAGAGGTTGACTATGCAAATTATGGATAGATGGAATATCCAAGGCCGTGAATACCTATACCTATGTGCTCAATGTGCCTAAAGACATGGAGAGGGTTCTTTTCATTAGTTTGCTTAGCTTGATTTTTTTCCTTTGATTTCAGGATCAATACGTTTATGGTTGTCCATTATTCTGGTTGGGACTTATCATCATTCCATTCTCAGCCTTGCTCAGGGATTTTGTATGGAAAGTGTAAGTCTCACTGTGTTAATTGTTTGTTACCAAAGGACTGTATCAGTCAATCAAGAACTTGAAAGCAATGTTTCCTCATTGTAAATTTGAACAAAGAAAACAATTAGTAGACTGCACAGTTTGTTTGCCTTATTGCACTGCAGTGCAGTATTGCCAGTTACAGTTTTTTACTTTGAGGGCAATTCAATAAGTAAGACACAAATGGTTGTTTAGAAAAGAAAAAAACACCTAAAGACGTTAACCACTTGAAAACCATTAATTTTTACTCATGCATTGTCCCTTTATTTTCAACATAATTTCCACCAACATTGATACACTTGTCCCACAATTTTATCTATCTTCTTCTTCTTGAGGAAGTGTCGGGGGGAGATGTAATGTTCGTTGATGGGCTCTTTCAAGAGCACTATTGAGATGTTCATTTCTGTAAGGCTGTTCTTAATGCCATCACTCCATATTTCCGAGGTCTTCCACTCACTCTATACCCGTTGTAACGTTTTAGTGTGGCTCGCTGTGGCGGATAGTACCAGGGCATTCTTGTTAGGTGTCCAAACCACTTCATTGTTGTTCTTTGATCACCTGTAAGACTGGCTTTATTTCTAGCATTCGTCTGATTTCATGATTTCGTATTCTGTCTTTCCTTGAAACTCCTGCAGCTCTTCTAAGGCATTTCATCTCGGTTGTCACAATTTTACGTTCATTGGAGGATGTAAGTGTCCACGTTTGATAGCATAGTGTTGGCCAAAAAATAATTCTGATAAGATTCACTTTAGTACTCCGAGGTATCTGCTTGTGTGTCAACAGGGGTGATAGTTGACCCATTACTTGATTAGCTTTGGCACATCTTTTATCTTTTTTTTTTTGGCACAATTTTATCAGTCCTCCCAAACATGCTGCTTAGAACTGCGTGCTCTGTTTTTTAAACCACATTTGCACTTCACATTCAACTTCTGCGTCATTCGTGATATGTGTTCCGCCAAGGTGAATCCTTGAGAGAAAAAAACTGTAACCGCCTATGCACCACTTTATGGGACAAACATTTGTCAGCATAAACAGGAAGCATTTCCTTATGAAATTCTTTGCAGGCAGCCCTTTGCCCCCCCCCCCCCTTCCCCCCCCCCCCCCCCCCAGTCCCAAACACACTGCAGCATGTTGTTCTTTGAGGGTACACTCCTTAAAGTATAGTTG